ATTACTTTTATAAGTATTTAATTTTTTATTAAAATTTAATTTAATTAAATTTTTGTGTATTAAAAACGATGTTTTACGTTTTATTAGTTATAACTGAATCAGTCATCCAGTTGAAATCACATATAAGAGCATTTAATAATACTTTCAATCGGCCCTAACGACCAATCTTGAAGTCAAATTTAGTTTATCGTACAAATATATTCACAATTTTTAATATTTTATAAACACATCAAAACATCATACTTTCCGACATTCGTTTTAATAAAATTTACCCCTATGTGATAGCTCATAGGGTTAATTCAAAACTTTTTATTAAAAGTAAAATAGTCATCAATAATATAATCCTGAAACTGCAAAAATTGACAGGATTATTAATAAGACATCCTAGTATATTAATAATGACTGCCAAATCAAGAAACAGAACTTCACACAGTAAGAGAAAAAACAAAAAAGAATACATATCCGAAAAAATACATTTGGGAAACCATAATAATATATATCATCAATAATAATATCATCAATAATATAATCCTGAAATTGCTGGGTTTATAGTATTGAATAGCAATATCGATATCTCCTATTGAAATATTGATTTTTTTTGGTCAAATATTGACAAGATTATTAATAAGACATCCTAGTATATTAATAATGACTGCCAAATCAAGAAACAGAACTTCACACAGTAAGAGAAAAAACAAAAAAGAATACATATCCGAAAAAATACATTTGGGAAACCATAATAATATATATCATCAATAATAATATCATCAATAATATAATCCTGAAATTGCTGGGTTTATAGTATTGAATAGCAATATCGATATCTCCTATTGAAATATTGATTTTTTTTGGTCAAATATTGACAAGATTATTAATAAGACATCCTAGTATATTAATAATGACTGCCAAATCAAGAAACAGAACTTCACACAGTAAGAGAAAAAACAAAAAAGAATACATATCCGAAAAAAAAAATATTTAGGAAAGCATCCTAACGAACTAATTTGCTAAAAAAAAAGTTAACCCAGTGGGATCCAGACATATAAGTAAACACCCCGCTAATTCATCAAGTTAACATCTCTAGGATTTACTTAGCAAATAGACTGAAGTAATTTTTATTATTATTAGAACTATTGTCATGAAATCGCCCAATCGCCCAATACGAGCCCAATAGCTCGAACTGCGGCCAGAAGAATCCTATTGTACCAAATGCGCTTTTAATTACACAAATCCCTTAGAGCAGAACTAAATCTGGAGAAAAGCTTTTAATATATCCTGATGACAGAAATTCCATATGAAATAAGTTTCTTTTGTGCGTTGTCAAAGCTGTACAGTCACAAAGCTCAACTAATATACATGGTTGTTTCCTCATCTTCAATGCAAAATCTGCATTCCGAATTAGCAGATACTCGATGTTTCTGAAGCTGAAATTAAGACCATTTTAACCCGTAATGAAACCTGTTATCAATCTTAAACAACTTTTTAAGAATTTAAGAATATTTTTGTAGGAGTGTGGTTTGATTAGTGCTTTGCTTTGTCCAAGTTCTGGGAAATCTACACAGTTCACCAGCTATAAACAATTCTCCCTCTCCTTGAGTATTTGTTTTATACTGACCCAGTTTGGCCCACAAAGGTGTTGAGGGCCTTTAAAAGCAGTTTTTAATGCAAGTCTGGCTAGCTAAGGCTAGTTAAGACATATTTTCATTTTTTTTTTTATAAAAAAAATTATTAAAAAGTTTTTTTTTTATAACTGAATTTATATTAATATATATCATATATCACATGAAAATATTTCAATATAATTATAAATTTAATATAAAAACAAAAGAGTTGTACACTATCACTTACAACGACATTTGATTAGTAGGACTACCAGACTAAGGGAATCTGTTTAATGTCGTTATAATCCGTTTTAATTATTCTTTAAGAACTGAAGTCTAAAAAGCAAATTACATTAATTATTTTTCTGCAGCTATATGAAAATGACTGAATATGACTGCATAAGTCGGTTTGTATACATTAACAAACACTATATATAGTAATTCTTTGATTTATTATAAAATAAAAAAATATTCATTTTAATATATACAAATTCTTATAGCTATCTATCGATAGTTGTACTAAATTTTGGACACCATGTCTTATTTAAAATTCTTTTATATAATATGTGTGCCATTAAACACTACTATATAATTGAATTATTTAAATAATTTTAAATAGCTAAACATTTTCTCACTTCGCTGTATATTTATGCTCTTCATATGCATATAATATATATGTGTTTCGCATTTAATTGAAAACTATATTTCCTTATACTCCTTGTGACCTATTAGCAGAGCAGAGTGTGAGTATTTTTAATTTCATCTTGCCACATGTTAGACATCGTAAAATTATGCAATTTAGATACTAAAAATAACGCAGCCAATGTACATAAAGAAGGTGCAATAAACACTTAAAAATATGTATGTGACTGCAATCATCAATTTATGAGACTTTGTCATCCCGTCTGTTCTGGAGGATAGCTGGTTTGCTTTATGATAAACCTACACAAAACTCTTCAATATAATTATTTCTTCAAAAATTATTAATTAAAAAAACTTAAGATATTGAAATGTGAATTAATTAATAAAAAAAAAAAATTATAATTAAACTGTTAGATTAAGATTATTCGCATTAACACATCTCAATCGAGTCGACAGCAAAAATGTCAATAGATTTTTAAGTGTTAATAAATCTGCTTCTGTTAACTAAGATCTTTCAAGAATAGGAATAAAAGTAGAACAACAACACCTGCAGATTCTCTATAGTGCAAAATAAAATAGTTAACCTTCTCTTCGTTTCTGCAATTCCCAAGAAAATGTTTAATACTACTGCACCCATTTTATTAATCAATTTAATATTAGGTTTATCAATAGTCTCACAGACACTTTGTCTAAGTCAGCTTGACAGACACTTTGTCTGAGTCAGCTTAGCAGACACTTTGTCTGAGACACTTTGCAAGAAGAACACAAAAGATCTCATAAACCTTAGTGTACCATTGTCCCTACAATTGATATTAACAATCATTTCTGACATATAAGGTTGTAATCGCATTATGTATGATCAAATAATTTAATAGAGTTAAATTCGATAAAATGTAAGACATAAAATGCAGCAGAGACCACTTCATGTACTGACTTCTAACAAACAGACTAGATTATAAAATACCATAAGTATTGGTATGCTTACGAGATACAGAATATATTTGATATCTCAAGTAAATTTTGTTTTAATTACAAGTTTAGAATAATTTTTAAACAAAAAATTTGTATTTAGTATTAAAAAAAATTCCATCAATTTATAATTTTATCAATAAAACTGTGTAAAACTAGAACTAAAAAAATAACTAAGTTCTGAGATCCCAATGGAAAGCAGCAGTACGACCATGGTAGATCTTTTGTGTTGACAACTGACTTAAACCAAATAAAAGGAACCTTCAAATGAAAGTCAAAATATCTTCCGTTCAGAACTTCTTATTTAAAAAAAAAGAAAACAGAAATTAATTTAAAATATGCCTAAAGAATGAAAAACATCCCAGCGAAGCATCCTACGTATATTTCAAAATGGGCTCAAGGTAAAGCCTAACAAGTTCCAAACGGCACAAGATGTTACACTAAACACCAAAGCAGCAAAATATTAGACTCGAAAGAGCAAAGGAGTGGTTACGCTTGCACGAAAATGTCGAATTTTGAAACATTGTGTTCTCTAATGAGTAAAAATTCTCCATTGAGCTTCTCCATTCACTTAACTAAAAGCGCTGCCGTTCACTGTCATATGAGACTACTAATGGCCATCCGAAGTAATTTTCCATCTCAAATAATGTAATGAGCAACTGTGACCGCCGATGGATGCATTCCAATTGTTTTCATCGAGCTTGGTTCCTGGTGTCAAAATCAATTCGTTTATAATCGGGAAAATAGAAAATGTTTTGGAAGTTGCTTTAGAGCCATGGGCTCGCAAATATTTCGGTCACAGATCATGGTCGTTCCAATAAGGCTCGGTACCAGTTTCGGTCTCATAAAACTCATGTAAACCACGAATGGTTAAAAAATCATGTTCCACACTTTATTTTGTCCGCACAATGGCTTTCGAATTCGTCAGATGCAAATCCGATGATCTGTTCCATCTGGGACATTTTGGAAAAGTTGAGAGCAAGGTAAGGATTAAAAAATAAGCCGGTATAGTTGCCCTGAAGCAAGCCATTGGACTAAAATATCGAGAATTTGATCATTTAAAATTTCGATCATTTCAATCACTTAAATATAATTAAGACCATTTAATTTAAAACCATTTAATTAGAAAAATATATAACAATTTTTTAAAAATATTGAGTTTTCACTTATACCAAATCACATAGTTTAGAACTACAGTAAAGTATCTGAGATGTCAAATTAAGCTGATATATAGTTTTTTACACATAATATATCAAATTAACATATAAGACTTTTGTTAATGGATGAAAATAAACTTATTTTGCAATCAATATTTAAAAAAATTTCAACTAACATGTAAATATAACACAAATAATATACTCTATATACAAATATATACATATTATACATTATATTAGATATCATTTTAATACACTAGCTACACAAATATTAGTAAATACTTATATGAATATTTTATATATATTATATATTAGTTATATATATATTATTATACACATTAATTTTTTTCATACTTAATTGTTTATCTTATTATTATTATTATTATATTATATCTATTATATCTTATTTTTTTCTTATTTAACTAAATTCTATAATTTTTGTAAGTGCTGTAAGAATTTTCCTGAATCAATAAATTCAAATTGCATAAATTTAAAAAAAAATAATAATAATAAAATTTTTAAGAATACAATATAGTATCACAGCAATGAATTTTGTTTATTATTTATTTCACTATATAACTACACTACTATACATATTTTCAAACAATCTTCTTTTTGAATTTCATTTAAGATCATTGAAAAAAATGGCTACTCATTCGAGTAAATTACACAGAAATGTATTAACTATGCCTAAATGGGTGGTAAGTACCTCAATATTATATACTTTCACACAACTTTTACTAAAATCATTATCATACTCTGTAGACAGAAGCCAACGATCGCATTGGACCTAAACCACCACCACCGCCACCATTGACTGATGATCCAATCAAGGCGCCAGCACTACCACCAAAATTTAAAAACCAACCCGAACCAGATTACGAAGTAATAGAGTTTTCAGGGCAACAGTATTCAAATGAACCAATGAAAGGTGCAAATAATTCACGACCTCGAAGCACGGGTACGTTCCTTCTGCATTCAAGTTGCCTCAGCAATTTGCAGTACTTAACGTATGTAGATTTAAACAAATTGTTTTTCCATAAAATCTCTTTCTTTAGATACAAAGCTCAAGTGCACGCTTTGTGGTTCAAGCAACCCATGGGTCACCTGTGAAGAATGCGCTCAACAAATATTTTGCGCTACATGCGATGATATGTTCCATAAACATCCAAAACGTAAAACACACGTACGCAAGGTAAGTGTTAAACTTTGTGCAATCCTTGGACTAAAAGAACTAAAAGCTCACTCAATCCAATGCTACCATAAATAACTATTTGAACAGACCATAGAACAGTCTCGCCCACCAATACCACCCAAAATGCTACCTGGTCAGCCAGGACCAACTCCTCCGATTGCGCCACCTAGACGCTCTAAACGTGGCATGATGACGCCGTTGTTACAACGCAAGGATCAGGTACGCTTCTGCACGATTGCATAAACGAAATCTTTGAAATAAATTTACAATAATCTTAAATCAGAACAAAAATCAGTTGAACTCTTGAACTAATTCATTGCGAATATTTTTTATTAAGTGCAGCACATTTTTTTATAAATTTTATTATATCTTACCACAATTTGAAGTACATATTAAGTACATTATATACTGCGTATACATTCATGTATTTTGTTTGCTTTGTAATTAAAAAGCTTTTTGTTAATTACTTTGAGTGCTTACTGCCTTAGTTAATTAAAAATTATAATATTTATATTATAAACTTGTTCCGCTTCTAAATGTGATGGTGATGAAAGCATTAAATTATTTAATTAATAAATTACAATTGTTATTGTTGATATTTATACATGTACTCCTGAGTAATTAATACAATATATTGAATAAAATGCCATTGACTGAAAAAAAACATTGCGAAACGTTTGGAATTTTCGAAACATCATTTCATTATTTCATTTTGGGCTAAAATAACCTCATGACATATTTGAATATTTCAAAACTTAACCTTAGGTTGACAACAAAATTATACCTATACCACCATCGCCCACACCTTCTCTGAAGAATAGCGCCTGGCACGAGAAGGTCGGCTCTTTGAAAAGAGGTCTCAGCTTAATAAACCGACCATTACCCGATACGCCAAAAGCGTCAACTCCCGGTGACGAACCATCATCACGCTCAACAACACCAAAATCGGTATTCGACAATATACAAAGACCGCCTTCGGTAACGCTTGAGAAAATCAAGAATAAAGCCAGTGCCACATTAGATCGCATGACGCTGTTACAACAACGCTATCGACAGCAAAAGGAAGAGCGCGAACGTAATCCTGGTAGTTTGGGTACAGAACAGGTAAAGAAGTTTATTTCTTTAAAATTGTACATATCGAAAACTCCTTTCTATATCATTAATGCACTCATATTTAAACGTGTCATTCCAAATTTTATGTTTGTTTATTGTGATACTTGACGTTGTGATGTGTTCGTGCGCTGTTATGTACATATTATTTGTATGTATGTCTATCAAAATATGATCAGAACCTTTCATTCGATCAATGGTCAAACATTTCACCGTCGCCATCACATTTTCGTTTTGGCAGCATGTCATCCGAACTAAACTCATCTCACTTCGATCTATCGGATGATTCACATTTTAATTTGATCAATCAGAGGCAGGCGCCACAACAGATAAATCCAAATCGTAATGCTAATCTAGGTACCAGAGGAATGAGCTCATCTGTATTCAATTTGAATCAAATAAATCGAAGGCCCATCCAAAATAATAGTGTTTGGCCGGATAATCCAATGCAACAGGTAAGATTTTTTAGAGCTTAAAAAGTTTAAAAATGTATCGAACCGAATTTACAAAAACTTTAAAACTATACTATATAATTGATATTTTCTAATAAATAGGAAAACTAAGCTCATAATCATTTTATGCTTATTGCTAAAAGATATTAAACTTAAACCATATTATTTCAATAACAAGCCTGAGCTAAACTCAAGTTCAATTAGTTCTTCAAGCTTGCAATTTTCTACGAAGTTAGTTTCTACGAAGCTTAGATGTTCAATAGCTGCTGCTACACTCTTATCAGTGTCACTTCTGTAAAGATATCTACCGGGAATCTGCCTATGTTTATTGAACAAAATAGAGATTATTTAAAAGATAAAATACAGTCACATTCAACTTACTGATGAAAAGTTATAGACCATTGTCTATTGAAAAATTTTAAACATATCGATAACAACTATTATTTGTGTACTAAGTTTGTTGATATATAGAATTAATTGATTGACATTAAAGACTAGGTGGGTTTGGAACTATACTACCCAACGATTACCAAAATTCTGTACTGATTTTTAAAATAGTATATGAAGCATACAGAACCAATGGTTGTGTAGTCAGAATTAAAAAGATTTTAATATTATAACATACATAATTGAGTCAGTCAAAGAATTCTGAAATTAAATTCCAAATCATTAGGATAAGATTAAACTTTTATAAAGTTATTAATATTAGTTCATAGATGCTCTTCCAACATATAAAATATATTATATATACATAATAGTATTTTCTTGTCAGTCTATATATGGTATATGCATGTATTCCTTTCGGTTTGGAATTGCATTATTCTTTTGCAATTGAAAATAAATTTATTTTTTATATAGGCACAATCTATGGCTCAATTAAACTGCATAAGTTGCAATAATCCACATGCTAATTGGCAACCACATCATCATCACCATCACGCGACAGATGAATGGAGTAATCAACTGAACATGCAACAACAACTAAATCGTTCCAATTTATCGTTAAATGTTGGTGCTGGCTATATGATGCCACATCCAAATGTCATGTATCCACCACCAGTATTTATGAATCAACGAGGTATGATGAACAATGTATATCCATATCCATATCACAGTGGTATGCCAGTAATGAATCCTGGTAAGCCAAGTATAATATATAAATACAAAACAAACACAAAATTTTTATATTGAAATAGGTGTTATGGCAATGCCGCCAGCTGCGCGATCACGTGCTGCTTCTAGGGCTGGTTCCCGTTTACCTTCACCATCTCTGAGTCGGAAGTCTGTGACACTACGCCGTAAGCGTACTAATTATGGGGATGATGAGTTAACAGATGATGAAGACTCCGATCAAGACGATCGTCGTTCATTGATATCAAATAAATCTGGCATGACAAACACAACACGAACGCGTCAAAGACGTTTATCGAGCGCTTCACAAAGCTACTTCGACAATGATAGCGATGTACATAATGGTAAAAACATGCGTAATAAAATGCGTGATCAGAGACGCGGCTCTTTTGCTAAATCAGTGCAAAATGATTGGATACTTGGTAAAAGAGCATCTGCAAATGAGTTGAAAAACAATACACACAGTCATGAATATCCAATTAACAATAAACCATCCAGAATATACTCGGATCTAGACTCAGAGGGTTCCGCAACACGCGCATTGGTGCAAGCAAAAATTCAAGAAAAACTTGATGCAAAAGAAAAGCAAAAGAAGAATACACGCAATTCGATTGAGTCGACTACATCAGATGATAAACCATTAAAGAAATCCATTGAAGTACAAACACCAGGTCTACAGAAAGTTCCGAAAGATAAGAACACATGGTCTGATGAAGTAACACATAAAAAAACAATACCACTTACTAAAAAAGAAGTACAAAATGCAAAAATTGAAACAGTAAAACGCATTGAAACTGAAAGTGAGTCTGCGGTCACAACAGAAAATGAAGATGAAATTGTAGAGGAACCAGTGATTCAAACAACAGAAATAGACACTAAAATGGAGGAAGAGGAAAACTCATCAGAACAAATTAATACCGTTGATAAGGAGGAGAGTCCAGAACTGGGACCGCCACCATCAACGCCTGATCACGAATGGGAATGCGAGTTTTGTACATTCGTCAATGAGCCAAATATCAAAATATGTTCAATATGTTGTAAAACACCAAGTAAACCACCAGTTCGTAGAACAGAAAATACAACTGCTATCGAAGTTAAGACGCATATCAATAAATCAACTATTTCATCTGCGACAAATTATACACCTGCAAAAGAAAAGACGCCAGTTGCAAAAACTTCAACTGAAACTAACACCAATAGATTGCTTTCCACCAACAAGATAAGTAACGGCTTAAGCAAACTGAAAATAACTTCCTCAGAAAATGAGTCAGATACATCAACGACTAAAAAGAAAGGTATGATTAAGAGAATAACATTTTTGGAAGGAACCAAAGTCAATTGAAAGTATACATACAACCCCCATTTGAGAGAAACGCTAATATAGATTTATAATGAAAAAATTTTTATTTTTTATACGATATAACTTTATACAAAACACTTATAAATATTTTTGTATACATAAAAGAAAAATTAAAAATTAAAACATAACATATGTATCAAATACATTGCTTTGATTTTTGTTCCAACCAAAACATTGTTGTTTTCTTACATTAAAATGAATATGTGTTGCAATCCTTCGATTTACTTGTATATATAACTAATACCCCACCAATTTTATATACTCTACTCCTCTCCTTAATTTTAGCCTATGCATACTATTTAGTACATGAATTCCATTTCTACTCGTAGAGTCAATTGAAGATATTTGGGCTGCCTTGGATGAAAACATTCAAGCAACAGCTGATCAAGTAATGCGTTCTGCTGAGAAAAAGAAAGTTACAAAGGTTTCAACCAGTTGTGGTACTTCACCTGTAAGGGAAATCGGTAAACCAGAATTTCAAACCGAACGAAAAACTATTCAATCCATTGGATCAACAGCTACTCAGCAAAATTCAAGTATTTCGACTCAAGTATGCCATTTTCATAAATTAAAAACTGCCAATAGCAATCACTGAAAGATTATTATACATTATTTCCCTAGACTTATGACACGTTACCATTGAACAGAATTGACGACACGCCTACTAGAACGGAAAATGGCATACAAGTACTGTACAACAATAACAATAATAAAAGTATGCAGGTGAGACAAATTTTATTAAAAGAACTAAATTTACAGGTGTAAGTATTCGACATAATCACCCACAGTTCCCTTGATTCGTATGGTACTAATTGTCTCCTAAATATACACAGAGTTAAGGAAATGAAAGAATAAGACACTCCAATATAAATTTAGAGTTGTCACTTCCTTTTTTTTATTATTCAATACACATAAACAATTTTATTATTTTATTTGATTAAATAAAAATATAGTTTAGAAAAAATAGTTATGGATGTGAAATGCTAAAAGGTTCAAGTGAAGTAAACCCCAAAGTTTATGATAAGCAGAAATTAATAAAATTAGGGGAATGTTATTAAACAAGAATGGTGTTGAAAAATGTTAATAAAAGTGTTGCTAAATAAATGTTTAAAAAAAATTCAACTTAAATTAAGTAAATTGTATTCTCTACAAATCTCAGAGCTCAATCCACAAAATACTTCTACAATAAAGACTTTCTAGTTTTAGACAAAACTATGCTCAGAATAATCAGATAAAATAAACCTTTATTTAAAGAGTAAGTTATTTAAAAAATTGATCTCTAAGTAAATAAGAATGAAATATAGTTCTTAAGAAATAAGCTAAAAATAATAGTTATATTAATAAAAATAATGATTTATACCAAAATTAACTCAATAGACTATAGTTAGTGGTGACGAAATATTGATAGTACTGACCATCGACAGTTAACGATAGTTTTTCAAAACTAAATACGCATAGATCATAAAAATATGTTTTATAGTATACCACCCTTTAGATTGCAAGAGTATTATATACACAATTTCAAAAATTCTATATATTAAATTAGAAAATAATTATTAATTTTAAAGAAATATATCATCAAAAGAAATAATATCTAGGTAATTGGACACAAAATGTGTACGATTGTATCATTCTATATTTGTATATAATCATGTTTTAGATCATCCGAATCGGTCTGATTATATTTGATCTGTTATTTTTAAAGAATAATCTTGATCATTTCTAAATATACACTAAATGTAACACAGATTTTAATATGGGATCAATCGTAATATGTTGTCCTTACACACATCACAAACAATCACTATGCTTAAAAGAAAATCGAGTTGATTATAATTAATTAATTAACATATTAAAAGTATAATTATGTTAAATCTTTAAAGTTTAAAATTATGCTATACTATTCAATATATCATAATAATCATACACAGTTCTGAACATATAAAAATATATGTTTATTTTAAATTAATATTATAGTACCGTGTCAATGTTCTAAAAGTCCCTGAATTTATTTCTTATTATTAAAAGGACCAGTAATATAACCAGAGGCGAGGCGTCGAATGGTTCAGAGTGTTCACTGAACACCTTAACAAAGCTTCCTTTTTAGATCTTTTTTTTTATTAGGTAAATAATCTCGCTATTTTGCTACTTAAAATTTTTTATAATAGCTTTTCCATACATATTAACATAAACACAAAACGTATAATACAAACAAAACCACACATACATATGTTAGTTACACCCAACATTACTTATAATTAATAAAAGAGAAAATACATTCCTCTTAAAACATACTAAGGTTCAGAATAAAAACTGCACCGCGCTGCTTACAAAGCATGCAAGTGAAATAATATTCACATTGGGACTATAGGACTATATTGAATAAACAACACAAAACATACAAACAAATAAAAAAATAAAAGAGAAAACAAGCCCCGCAAAATATGTACGTAAAATAAGCATAACTCTTAAATTAACGCGTGCAAGCGGTTCAATAATAAAGGTGAACCTCCAATGTTATGCAAAGTAAATACAAAAGAGAAAAAAATGACTGAGCGAAAATCGCTTTACATTTGACTAGAGGTTCAGTCGACTAAACTGAACCCCAAGTTCATACAAAGCGTGCAAATACAATCAAAGTCACGGTTGTCGTTTTATATGGGCAAATGGTTCAATAAAAAAACTGAACCGTGCATAGTAAATACAAAGTAAAAGAGTAAATGAATGCATGAGAGTTTCTTACTCTTATGTAGAGGTTGGAAATAAACCAAAAACAATGTCATTATTGCAATTTTATACTAGCAAATGGTAAAAGTAAAGAAAAAAATTAAAGAAATTTGAAGTGAAAAATAATATTTAGAAATGGATAAATATGTGATTAAAGATTTGATTCAAATATCTTTTCTTAAACGATCTTCTGAAAAAAAGATTTTAATTCATAAAATGAATAGACCAACTCCAGATAAGAAGAATTTGGTACCTGATGTAAAAATGACGATATTTGTGGTAAGTCGCAGTTTTCCTACAGCTATTTACCATAAAAACCAGTGGATCACAGGCTGCGAACATTTAAATAAATTGTTTTGTTGGTCTTGGACGCTATTTGCTTGTGGAAAGGACAAAACTCAGGAGTAAGGAGAATACGTTATAGTTGGAATTCAGTTTTGATCAAATTATGAACACCTTGCCAAAAAGCTGACGCCTCGCTACTGAATATAACTCTTCATATGAAGCGTCCTAAATTAACTCGGAAGATTTCAGTCGTTACTCAAAAAATGCACGAATGAATAATTTAAAAAAATTTAAAAACATATTATTTTTATTTTTATATATATTATCTTTTAGCTATATTTGTGTTTTATTTTCAAAATGTAATTTAGAAACAAACAAATAGGTTCACGAGTATTTGAATTTTGTGATCTTTTGTCAAGGCTATACATAGTTTACAGTGTGGCTTTTACCATATTTGTAAATTGTAAATTAGAACTATCATAAAATAGGTTCGAGGACGCTTTTAATAAAATAGTAGGTTAGGTTAGGTTGTAGCAACGATCTAACGGGATCCCCTAACACCTATTGGACAATTATGTTACTGTATAATGGAAAACTCAGAGGTTTAAAAACCACCTTGAACCTTTGGCAGAGCATAAATTGCTAAACTTAAGCAGTACCTCAAAAAGTGAATCCCCTAGAATAGTATGGCGTATAGAATTGTATAGAACAAGAATAGTATGTTCTTGTTGAACAAGAACAAAGCAGTTGAGAAGCACTCAAATTAAGCAAATGTTGAATTGCGTCGAAATTTTATTAAGAGATGTGTAGCAATCAAAAACTGTTCTGAATGTTAATTGAACTGAACTCAAAAACTTTAAAACAGCTTGACTGTCTGATAGTATGGATTTATTCTTATTAAATATGTACTTCTAACACATTAAGAGAAGCTATAGCTTGGCCATCACCTCCGCCTCTAAAACACTATATTAATCAAAAAGCCTATAATAAGCTATACTTCCAAGAAAAGTCCACCGTCTACATCACTACTTATTTTAATATTCTTAGGTAACAATAGTTACATGTCCCGCTAAAGAGGGACCTCTCAAAAACCATATATCTCTAAATGGGAACTCGTCATTGAATTTAGTGTTAAAATTAAGAATGAAAGGGATTTAATCAATGTCATTTGAAGTAGATAGAAAAAGATTATGAACGACACCATGTCCATCGTCACTAGCCTTCCATTTTGAGGTGACTATGTTTCTCAGAACAGATATTGCTGCCAGTTGTTTACTAATAATATCAAGTAGCATTAAATGAAGTATGAAAGGATCGACTCTGCGCTGAACACTGTTGAGTACTGTACGCTACGAAGATTTAGCAAGGGCCGTCCACCATGCAACAGTATTGGTCTAAAGTATTGGCCATAAAGTTATGCATGGTTGTAGCCCCACTTTTTATCAATAAGATAGTAACTTTACGTTGAGATATAAAATAACTTGGTACGAAATTATACCGAACTTGCGAGTCTATATCAAATCACTGCTTACTCAATTCTTATATGTATATGTGTTACATGATACATCGCGAAACATATGTTATTGTCACAGAAGACATTAGCAGTATTTCAATTTTTATATCGACAAGATAAGACATGAAGTAGATTCAGCAGATAGAGCATTTCCTTGTTGTTGATACTCTTCATAAAGACATTTAAAGACATTGTACCAGCAGATAGGGCAATGAAAAAAGTTTCTTAGTATCTTGAAATTAATAAAAATCCATCACCACATTACGGCGTCCCAGAAATGGTAATCCTGCGAAAAAGCACTCCTTAAAAAGCATTCCTTATCGCAAAGCAAATGGAACAGAGTATATGGTACAATTTCAAGACGTTATTTTATCTTGGAAATTCTATCTTATTACATAAAGTTTAAAACAAACTACATTCAATAATTTATGTAAATTATATAAAATAACAAAATTTACTATAAAAATTATAGTGAAATGTTATAGTTCGGCAATATTTAAAACGTTTTTAAAGCAAATATTGCAGTTTTGTTTTATTTGTGTAAAAATTTACTTATGTTATTTTTTTTATTACTCTACGTTATGTTTTCAAATAATTTGAAAAATATGCATTTTTAATCATTTTTGCCCGCGAAAAATTTCAAAATAACACTCCCCTAGCACAATTTTAGCCTTTGTACAATTTTACATCTATGACTCATTATGTCATTTTGAAATCCCTCAACTTTCTTTAAAAAATATTTTAATTTGAGAATTGAAAAATCATTTCACATCTTAAAAATAATTACTTACTTCTTCTGTTAACTCTTCACTGCTATTGCTTTCTGGAATGTCTTCACCGCTGTTATCCATTTTTACGTCCTGTGTGAAAATCAGATTTGGTAATAAAAATTATGTCACGATAAATCTCAAACTCCCTACCTGATTGCACTATATTGCAACAATATTTAACATATTTTCTGACTTTTGCATTAACCAATAAAAGTAAGATTATATTTCACCAATTTATAATAAAAAATGGCTGCCAGATTAATCTAAATTTCATTATTTTACTATATAAAGAAAGATGTTTAGATTTACACTATGGGATTTTTATAGAGAAGATATGTTTACATGTTGCAATATGAGATAAGATATACTATATATATGTTAACGATGAAGATATAATTTCCATTTCATTACATGAGATTTCCTTTAGCCGTATATACAATATACAATACATTCACACATCTGCTATATGTCTGGTTATCTAATATAAAAACATCTTTTGGCCATGTTATACTGACAGTCATATGACTCAAGATCACGTTAATTTTACGCTCTTTTTGGTCATAGCCAAAATGTTATATAGAGAGTCACACCACAATCGCCTATTTCCCATTTGTACTATTATTTAGATATATTTTTTTGCGCCTAAATTGAAAAGATGTTTAATTTTGTGTGGATATGCTTACATATCTATACAAAACACACATATTTACTTACAATAATTGCAAATTTTTACATTTTTTTCTGAGCAAACACAGTTTTGACCCACGTAAAGTTGCAGACAAGGCCGTGTTATGGTGACTAAATTTTAATTAAAATGTCTCTCATGCCCTCATTCTCAAATTTTGTATTTAAATTCAGAACAACAACAATTTTAAGTGATGTGACCATGCCTCTGCCTCTCATAGCCCTAATAGTACTTAACGGTTTTTGCTGATTAATATTTGCCTTTTGCCAAAATGTTTCTTCTTCTTTAACGTAGTATGTAATATATAAATAATACATATATATATAATATAAATCATTGATACATTTAAAAAAAACTGAATACTTATCTATCTTCATGGATAGATAGATCTTTATGCCCATAGATATGGCATCTTCATGTTTTACAGCTGGTTTCATTTTTTAAACATTCTCTGAATACGTCTTCTATATCCCGATAACCATATTTTCATGTGTCACTTACTTAATTCCGCTGTTATGTACCACACAAAACTCCTAGGGTGAAGTATATAGTATTCTTCTCCACATAGAGTTCAAGTATTTTAGTTATATGGTACTAATTTTAGTTGTACTAATCTAGTTATCGCACATAATGTTTTATGGTAAATTAATAATTAATCAATAAATAATATTTTTAACTATTAATTTAATATGTTAACTATAAAACCAATACATAAATTAATATAAAAATTAATATTAAAATAAATATAAATATGATTATAATAATATATATAAAAATTTTTAAAAAAATAATTATGTTTAATTTTACCAGGCTTTAGATCGTTTTTTTTTAAATTATATTTTTATATAATAACTTACATAAAAAAATTTTAAATTAAATAAAAAATATCACAGTTGTAAACTTATGTATATATATATATAACAGATATATTAGTCTACGAAGTATAAGATATTATATAAAAATATAATTGAAAAACAAAAATACCTGGAAAAAGTAAACACATATAAGTATTGAAGTTGACACCAATATAAAAATATTATAAAAATAAATATAAAAATAAAAAATAATTAGAAAAAATTAATATAAAAATAACTGGTCTGTAGTAACCAGTTCAATATTGACAACACATATAAAACTTTTTAAATCCTTTCTAAGTCCTCACGTATGGCTGCGAAATTTCGACACTCAAAGTAAACGGAACATGCTACCTACTATCCCACGAACGGAAAGTACTGAAAAAGACTTTTCGCCTAATATGTCTAGATGATGGCAGAAAATAATATGATAGGATACGTTTAGCATATAAACCGAGAAACACTTGTAAGAAACCTTATTGAATTCCGAAGAAGAGGCAGATCCAGAAAGAGGTGGCTATATGATGCCAAAGAAGATTTTATGAAATAACGGGTGGGCGATTGGAAAAATTTGGCAAAAATTTTTTTGAGGAAGCACTAGTCCACCCAGAACTGATATGCTAAGAAAGAAGAAAAATAAAATAAAAACAAAAAATATTAAAAAAAAAAAAAATAAATATAACAAAAAAGTAAATATATTAAATAAATGTATAGTAAAAAAATTAATGTAATAAATAATAAATATTATAAAAAATTAATATAATAGAGAAATAAATTTATTGTATTTATTAATTATAATAAATAATAATTTAATTATAATAAAAAAATTAATATAATAAAAAAATAAAAATAATAAAAAAATAAAAATAATAAAAAAATAAAAATAATAAAAAAATAAACATAATAAAAAAATTAATATAATAAAAATATAAACATAATAAAAAAATTAATATAATAAAGAAATAATATAAATATATAATAATAAATAAATATAAAGAAATATAATAAAAAAAATATAGTAAAAAAATTAAATATAATAAATATATTAAAAAACTAAATATAATAAAAAATAAATATTATTAAAAAATAAATATATTAAAAGAATAAATATAATAAAAAAATAAATAAAATATAAAAAAATATAATAAAAAAATAAATAAAATATAAGAAAATATAATAAAAAAATGAATGTAATAAAAAACTAAACACAAATACAAATTTTATGCTTTTTGCAAAGATAAATAAATTAATCACTTACTTAAAAAGTTTTAGCAATTTATGGTAATAACTAAATTGATCAAAATAATAAAATGTAATAAAATAATAAAATATTAAAAATAATAAAATATTAATAATAATAAAATATTAATAATAATAAAATATTAATTATAATATCTGTTTCATTTTGAACATTATTAATAATTATTAATGATTTTTGAATTTAATAAACACAATTTTATTTTAAACAAAATAATTTTATTCTTATAAGTTAACAATTTTTATTAACACTGATCTCATGAACATAAGTTTAACACACAATTTTTCATTAATAATTTTGATTTTTCCAAAAAAAAAATAAGTATTAATACTAAAAAAACAAATCCACGATTTCAAAATTTCATTTTTAAAATATTTTACTAAGTTTAAAATTTTGAAATCAAATTGCGTAAATTTTTAAAAAATTATTTTTTTAACTTGAGTAATTTAAAAAAAAATCCGGATATTTTATATAGAAGTTCACATAATAAATTTTGACAAGATCAATATTTTTTTATACTTTCAAATGAATTAAAAATAAAAAAAATATTTTCTTGCCTTTTGAACTCACGAAAATTTATTCTTTTTGATATTCTGAGAAGATTATCCAAAATATGTACGTTTGAAAATATAATCCATTAAGATTTTTTAAGAATGGATAGTGACAAAATACTTTTTGTTTTGGAAATTTTCAAAATATTGTCTAAAATATATAAGTTTCTATGAAAATATATCTATAAGGATTTTTAAACAATAAATTTTCAAAAGTAAATCCAAATAGAATAAAAAATTCTATTTACGAAGGTTCCGTACCCTAGGTTTCTTATTATGAGTCATATGCTCACACTTGGGTATATGACGAATTGCAGCGGGTTCACTGAATCGCCTTAAGCAGTGGGGACATTGTATATAATCCGGATTCTCGGATGGTGGCGGCTGTGGTATTTCGCTTAAAGATTTTCCTTGTGCCAACTGTACCGAAACAGCCTTAGCCTGACGAATACAACTAATAAAGTCATTATGTTTACGACGCCAGTTGTAATTGGGCTTTTTGATATCTGTTGTTGAAACGACAGCCTCACAATTATTTGCCTCCTTAACTGCCTTTAAGCGCATTTTTGCACTATCGTAAACTTGTACCTTTCGAACTGCCAGTTTTCGACAAATGTTCTGATGTCGTTCAATGCGATCGTCAATAAAATTACGATTGCAAAATTGACAAGTGGTCATACCTTCCTCAGGAGGAACAATGCGAGGAGCTGGCTTTGTGCCCTATAATAGAGAGATATTTAAAGAATTAATAAAATATATTTATACATAATATAAAAACTCACGCATAGAAGAGTTTGAACTGGTGGTTCTTTATCGGCTTTAGTTGATCTCTTATGCTTCTAAAAAATAAGAAAAACATTTTTTATTCTATATAAATTAAAATTAATATTACTTTTATATTTTCGTTTTAACCAGTCAAATTGCATAGTCCTTACAAACAGTCAAATTTCAATGGAGTAACTTGAGCAACCTATGAAGTGACTTCCATAGAAGATTGACTATGGAATAAAAGCCCTGTCGCTGTTATTGTTAAAGTTACAGAAAGCATATATCTAACTCTTGTTGCAAGATGGTTGTGAGAAGCAAGAACTAAGAATCAACATTACTAAAATAACTTCTCGAGAATATATAACAAGTGTAGATAAGATTTTATTGCATATGTCGATCAATTCAAGGACAGTTTCATTATGAAGTTGGGGAATTTTGTTTTGGGATGTGAAGAACTATTATGTAGCCTTTAGTAATATTACTCCAAATCGAATTTATTTTCTCATTTTCCGAGCTTAATTTTCTATTCAATCTAAGATATACACCTAAGTATTTTTTTTGTTAGTTATAAATCAAAGCGAACAAATACCTAACACTGGCTTTAAGTCTCTTTTTTTCGAATACACCAGCGGTATTATTCTTATAGCGGTGATATTAACGACAGTTTGCAACGGCAAGAGTCGGATTTTTATACATTACATATGTGTAATGAGTTGTGAGAATATATGCAGTAACAAAAATTAAAATTTTAAATCCATATTTTAGACAAACACCATTTTATTATAGATACCATTATCTGTAACTTGGTTCATAATAGACACTTATTCACATATCATAACCAGATCTCAATATTTAACCCTAAATATCAGGTGGGCAAGAATCATTATGAAAACAAATATGTGTGATTAAATTGTTAGCAATAGAAACCTTATAGCACAACTTATACTGGAATAGAATTTAAAGGCAATGGTTGGATCAGAATGAGTGATGTCTCTTATGAATGGGTTATATGACAAAACAAATTTATTTTTTTAAGACTTATGTCATTTAATACTACGGTACATTTTTATTAGTACTTGATCATGTTAAATAGAGATTCCGATTTATGTCTACTTTACAAGTCTGCAATCTAGTATCACTATTCTTTTGAAAATTCACCATGTGTAAGGACTGTGGTGCAGTTCACTGAGTTTTAAAATAAAAATTTATTTCGCTTTATGGAATTAATAACTAAATTATATTATTTTAGTTCTACACAGAGTGCAAAATTTATTTAGAATTATGTTTTAATTTATTAGTAAGTACTAATAAAAACCTACCTCCTTTTCGTTCTTAAATTTATCAACTTTAATTTCATCCCGTGTTTTCTTTAGAGGTTTTGCCTTGAGCGTAGCGCTGGGTTCATCAACTTTAGACTGAAGTTAGTCCATAGATTAAATATTTTAAAATTTAATTAATTTATTTAAAAAAACTGATCGATCTCTTAAATATATATGCAAATATAATATATATGTATAATATACAGTTGTACATACAGCATATCTAATTATTTTAAATCTACATATATATATATATATATATATATCAGTTCATATATGCATTTGTATAGTTTTTACCTTTTCTTTTGCTGCTGGTTTACGAGCTGACGTGTTACCGTCACGCCCATAATTATGAAACGTTTTCATTTTTTGAAGTAAACGCTTTTCAGCAAAAGCAGAGGGCCGATAAAGGGCTTGACTTTTTACCATTGGTGCCTATATTTTTAGAGGTTTTAGAAGGATTTCATTAGATATATTTAATATATTGATTACGACTTTACTTACTTTAGTACTTGGCGGAGGTGCTTCTTCAGCATTTTTGTTTGCTACAATAGTCAACGTTGAGTCTGAGTCGGTAGCATCAACAGAAAAGCCTTTGTAATCAACACCCAACTATAATACAATAAATAATATTTTTTTTATTTATCAAAACATTGAAAAATAAAATTAAGTATAAACTTAATGTAACTTCACCTACTTTCTCTATTTTATCCTTTTTAATGTTAGGTACAATAACTGGTAAAGTTTTAGGTTGATGAATAGGAGCTTTTTTGGGAATAACACCGCCTCCAGACTTACGAGTATTAACGAATGTTTTTTGCTGTAAAAAAATTTTTTTTCTATATAATAATGAGGCGAATATGTATTCTATTTAAATTAATGACTAATCATATTGTTAAGTTATTATATATAAGTACAATATTATAAGTTTTATTTACTTTTTTTTAGACTTTTATCTCACCAAACACCAAAATTGTTTCTTACAAAATTCTCCTAAGGAAATAATTAATTACAAAAGGAATCATGTTTGAATAGCAATGAATCAATAATATTTAAAGGTGCAATATTGATTCTTGATTGTTCTTCTTAAGTTAGTGCCATTACGCACTTTTACTCTATAATGGCTGGGGGGCTTATCTCTACCCCACACTAGGCAATATTGAATGACTTTAAGTAATCATTTTTTATTTGAGTTCTACTTACAAGGGTCACTCTTCATATTTTGAGCCTAATAATGAAAAAATACTAAATTTTCGTTGAAAATTGCTTTATTGTTTCTCGAAGTATTTTCCTTTATGATTAATACTCGTACATTTTTGCATGCGTTCGAACCATTTGTCAAAGCATTTTACCCCACTTCTTCAGACACCTTCAAAACATGCTTTCTAAATTAACAAGGGGTTATTGGGTGCCAAATCAGGACTGTATGGCGGATAACCTATCAATTTGATTTTTTGAATGTTCAAACAGTCGGTTGTTAGATGAGATGTGTAGATATGTGAGCACACGCATTGTCTTTATGGAGATGGAGAATAATGCGACAGTGCTGGTATACGTCTTTTCAAGCACCACCATTGCATTTCTTGAGCATTTGTGTACACGGTCCACCAATGGATACAAGCATCTTTTTGAGATTTTGTCAAATGGGGGAGCATGGGATCCAACGAGAACAAACCATTCTCACGGCTAAATGATCGTGCAATATTTTCACGATCATATTTTTGTTTTTCTGCACAAGAATTAATTTTGGTCGACCTTCACAAATTTCGTCAGGGAGCGAAATGCGGCGGCGATTAAAATCATTGTATCAGTGGCAGTGTTTTGCAGTGGCAAAGGATAGAGCTTTATTGCTCCATTGATAGATGCATTCTTATATTGTTAATCCAAGCCGAAAGTAATAAATAATCGCACGAAAATTTTTTCGCAAAATAATGCTCTTTTGACAAAAAGTCTAAGGTACATCACGAATATGTTTAATAAGGTCAAACTTTCGTATGGAAACGTTAGATGACACCTGATAACGATCAGTGTTGCCAAGGCTCAAAATATAAACAGTGACCCTCGTATTCAAAAAAATTAGGTGATCTACATAGTATGTAGTATTTTCTGTACTATTACATATGCGATGCAGAACATATCAATCGTTTGCTTTACATGCAACACGAAGAAAAGTATCTAAGCTAGTTGAACTACAATCTACCAAAATTAACATTTCTTGATACGTACTCAAGATATTTACAGTAACCACAATACTAGCGAAAAGTTACAATATAAAAGATACTTCTGTATAAATACATTTTCAAATAATTAAAAAAAGTGAGTTTTAAAATTAACCGAGCAGTTGTATATACTGTAGACTTATAGGTACAAATTCCCCTTAAGATCAAAAAACCTTAAAAATTCTTGTTTAAAAAAAAAATATTAAAAAATTATTTTTCTCCAAAGGGAAATATATACATATATAAAAATTATATACCCTCCCTTCAGTTCACTCGATTTAGAATAACGTCGGCGCAATATTAACGATAAACTTACCGCCTTTATTGGGGTTTTTTTACTCGATGATGATATCGTAGTCTTTTCAGATATGTTAAGTTTACGTGGTGTCGCTGATTGGTTGCGAGCCTGAAGTGACTAGGAGAAAATATATATATGAAAATATATATAGAATAAAATACTTTAAATAAATGTTGTAATACCTTCGATCTATCAATAGTATCCGTTCTTAAACTATTATTTTTAATTTTAGTAGGTTCCTCTTTAACACTGGCATACGTTTTAGTGAAGGTAGTACTGTGAGTCATTGAGTCGACTTTTTCACGGTTCGGAAGTTCCTGTTTAGCATTATTATAAGTTCTGTGTGAGGTAGTCTTTTTTCGTCGCTTATCACTGTTACTAACTTTCGAACGAGAAGTAGTATTAGCTTCAGTTGATTCTGATTTATCAGTTGAAACAGTTTTAGCGGACGTGACATTCGAGTGGTTGTACGTATTTGAACCGAGTGTACTGGCTTTGCTTCTTTCCAATTTCTCAAGATTCGTATAAACTGCTGCAACTGGTTTATCTGATTCTCGTTTATCATTATAATAAATCCTGGTATATGTAGCAGTAACTCTAGGTGGTTCCGGCGCATTGTGAGAATAGCTTTTAGAGAAATTTGCAGTTGTTTTTGGACCATCCCTTTTGTCAATGGAAAAGGTTTTGGCATAAACAGTGCACGGTTTCTTTGCTATTGGAATATCAATAGTATAGTTCTTAGCAAAATTGGTAGTGGCCTTAACTGGTAGAGTTACATTTGAAGAGAACGTGTTATTATATTTCGAATCACCTCTTTCAGCTGTTGGTGGTTTACGTGTTAAACGGGATTGTAATGTATTTGCTACTGGCTAAAAAATTGTAAATAATATAATATTATTTTGTATAAAGTTTGTCTATAATTGTTACCTTGGGAGTTGAAGAAATTATAGCTGCTGTTGCGGTATTACCAGCGGTTGGTTTTGGAAACATAGTTGCTACATGTTTAGCACCATATGATACGCCAAAATTTCTTGCAGCAGCAGGCGGACCTATATTGTTTCCTGCGGCAACATCAGCATTTAGATTACGACTCTCAATAGCGGAATTATTAAAACGTCTGACTGAACTTCTCTAAAATTTATAAAATAAAAATAATAATGAAAGTCTTGTAAATATATATAATTGTTTAATGAAGGGAAGGAAAACACTTACGGTAACAATATTTGCAGAAGTTGTCGCAAACTTCTTGTCCCTAACAAGGTTGGCATATTTATTATTCATAGCAGCTCCGCTATGTTTATCAGGCATATAAGACATTTCGAAATTGTAAAATCAAATCTTCAATCAATTATAGATAATTACAGATATCTTTAAGGTATCTAAAATAAATAAAATTAACACATATAAATAAGTTTTATTGACAAATAAGTATATATTTATATTTATGTCTATAAGTGGATAATCTCACTTCATCTTAATAGATGGAGAGAGTTGAGCACTTGTAGACAGACCAAACTCATGTTACCTAAACCGTGGGCCAGAGAAGCGATAAAAGTGCTTAGCTATTCGCGGAGCACTCTAAGGTGGCTGACGTCACTAATTACTGGACATGGCAACTTCAAATATCACCTCAAGAAGATAACTCTTGCTGAGGAAGACACTTGCAGACTATGTCTAGAAGACAGCGGTGCATATATTGTGCTAATGTCCAGCACTGGCAAGTAGGAGGAAGACTGTCTTGGGACACCATTGGGTTGGTGACGACTTGGCAGGAAACCTATAGCTAAATGAGATGCTTGCATTAACAAAAGATGTAGTTATGCGAACGGAAGCCACTTCAGCTTTAACTCAATAATAACATCCGAGAACCGAAGGACGAAAAAGGACCCAAGTCATTTCGTGGTCTACTTCGACCAATCCTTCACTTCAGTGGGGCCACTTGTTGGACAGTGCGCTGTCCCAACGTCCCACCATATATATATATATATTTTTATATTTCTTTTCAAATATAAAAGAAAACATATAAAAAGTTTGATTTATTTTAACCGACAGTAAGGTAAAAATAAATAATAATGAGTAGATGATGATGGGCCTAGTTAAGGACCGTCTCACATGAAGATGATGATCCGTTAAGCCTATAATGTCGCCCAATTGCGGTATTACAGTTTTAGCGATAATGTTAGCTATTGTAATAAGAAAAAGCTATATTCTTTTGTCGGTTAGGTATCGTATGTTTTAGCTTACTTTATATTAAAGCCCTTTTTTTTTAAGTGTTATAAAAAATTATTTTGCAATTATTTTTGACAGTTACAAAATAAAAAAAATTTTGTAAAAAATAATAAGTTCCTAAAAAAATAATGGGTAGGTCGTAATCAAGGAAAATTCTACGAATAGCAGGTACTTACAATACTTTCACTATAGTTTGTAAAGCTGAAGAACCACGATATGTTAAACACATTTAAACAGAAAAGAATTAAACAGAATTTTTTGATTCAAGAATAATTAAAATAATAATTTTAATATAATTCTATTATCCATTTGCATGTACGCACCTTTGATCCAGTTGCGTTCTGCACAAATCCAAATCCTTAATTCTTACTCAACAATTTTTCGGATTGCAGTAAAAATTTGTTCTTATTTGCTTTGATAACTGATTTCAAAAAAACTGAATTTATGTTAACATTAAAATTATATATATATATACATATATTTTTTTTTTAATGCATGGCTTGCTATATGAAAGTTAATTGCAGATGAATTTGTACTGAAGGGTGTGATTAAATTAAAACAACTATACAGTAGGAAAACGCGTTATAGGGGTATTCCCGTATACACGCGTACAAAGGTACGGGAAACTAATTATGAACTGTACAAATCCCCGTGTTATATGGGAGAAAGTCCGTGTTATATGCGGGACTTAGATCGCATAATATGAAAACGCGTTATAAGGGTACCGCATTTTAGGGGGACTACTGTACATAGACACCTTTATATATAGAAACCTTTATATGTACAGATAAGGTCAAAAATAATTGCCTTTTTATTAAAATTATGTTTATTTTATCAATCTTTACATTGCCCTTTTATTTGACCACACTCTGGTGTTTTTTTTTCAAGTAGAACTCAAGTAGAATTCTGTTTCTTTCTTAAAAAGTCCTCGTTTGTAACATATTCCCGTTTCACTTTATATTCTAAAAAATTATAGTAGTAGTTTAAACAGATTTTATTCTGATGCTATATTCAAAAACACCTTTATTTCGCAAAAATCTTAAATTCATCTTCGTTTCAGCGAAATTAAGTTATGTTTTCCATACAAAATTCAGTTTTAAGATTAGAACGAAATTAAGGAAAATGTCCTTAATTTCGTTGAAATGAAGGCTGAAATTAAGGGACATTTCAAATGCAACTATGCGTAAGATAAATTTTAAGATAATGAAAAAGTATCATTTTTTTTAAATAAATAAATGTTAATAATAGTTGATTTTAATGAAATCGAGAAAATATTTTGAAAGTAGTGCAAATTTTCAAATTTGAATACAGAGAAAAAAATGTGAATGTTAGAATACAAACAGATCCTCATGGCGTCCATACCTTTAGTCGTCCAATAAAAAGGCAAAAGCACATTAAATACACGAATCGCAAAAGAAGACCAGTGAAAACACTTATAACACTGGTAGTCTTCATCCATTATACTGAGAACATGGCTTTGTGACTATGATATGATTATTAGGCCGTAACAGTTGCAAAGCTCCAATAGCTGGAGTTTTGAGCACAAAGAAATATATGCAGTTTGATAATATCAGTACTTATTTTAGATCTGAATAAACTATATGTGTGAATTAGTCCAAAATGACACCATACTTCACCACGTAGAGTTTAAAGCGGTATTGCCTAACATGCACCGACAGGTTCGCAAGATGGCCCGTGGCAGTACCGTTGGTTGAAATAACAGCAGAAAATGTTGCTGAAGCATTAATAAAAGATTGGATAGCGCATTATGGCGTGCCAAAAAGAATTACGACAGACCAAGGAACTATTTGAGGAACTAGCAAAAATGTTGGGGTGTGAAAGGCACCGAACTACCGCGTACCATCCTCAAGCAAATGGGATAGTGGAACGTTTTCATCATACCTTAAAAACGGCAATGAAGTGTATGCCTAATATGGAATGGACGAGGACTTTACCGTTAGTAATAATGGGGCTAAGGTCAGCATATAAAGAAGACCTACAAGCGACACCATCAGAGCTGGTTTATGGCGCAAACATACGCATGCCGGGAGAAATGTTCGATGGCGAAGACAAACAAGTACCGCAAACGGAGTTTGTAAAGATAATAAAAGCAACGATAAGAGAGCTGAAACCGTTACAAACCTCACGTCATATGGCGGAGAAGCCGTTCGTGCATAAGGATTTAAAAAGCAGTTCACACATATTCCTACGTAACGATGCTGTACGTCCTCCACTGAAACAACCATACGAGGGTCCGTATGAAGTGGTAAGTCGTAGCGAAAAAACCTTAAAAATTAGGGTAAAAGGACGGACAGTAAATGTTAGTGTGAACCGCATAAAACCCGCATACATGGCGAATGAAACCGGGGAAAGTTTGACAGGAGAACGAATGGAAGAACCTAACTGCAGTGACTGTGTTCAACATACACCGAAGGTGACTCGAGCGGGAAGGATTATACGGCTTCCAACGAAGTATACTGGATAAGTGTCACTTCAACAGAAGGTAGAATTTGTCGTCAGTTGGGTGTCAAATTCTAGAAGGGGCTGTGTGGTGATAACGCAGTATACATTTAAGAAATCAATTTGACAGAAGTAATTTTATACTAAGAAAACAAATTTTATATAATTTATATAGTTTGTAATTGAGAAGTAATATTAACAGCAATAAAGGTGTTGATACTAAGAACTGTAATTACAACACTATGCCACATATGGTAATATAAACGGGCTTCACACAATATGTCAAAATAAAGATAGTAAATTGCAAATGGATATGATTTTATGTAGACTTACTCACCTGTGTTGCAAATTTCGTAGCAAAAGTTCTAGTTCCTTGAACTATAAATTAAACGAATCACTTTTCTGAATTGAAAATATGTTTTAAAAATATTGAATTTGTTATATGAATATTGAAATGAAAATTTCAATGGTAAAGTGATTAAAGAAAAATAAATAATACTTACTAAAATAAACTTTTTTTTTTTTTTTTGGTATCGGACCTGGGGGAAAAATCTTCAAAAGATACAAATGGCCCGTACCATTTGCATGCCCGATTCATGCACGACTCAAATTGAGTCATACATGCCTACGGACTAAAAAGTCCCCTACATTCTCAACTCAAAATCCTGAAAATCCCTGCAGTACGACCAATTAAGGTATTCCTTCACAGGGCAGGTTAGAAGAACACTTAGCGTGCATTCACTCCGATTGTGTACTAAGTATTTCGTCCGCTCTAACAGTATTTATTGTTCTAGAGATTATGCTCTTGTAAAAGCTCCATTCTTCGATGCTTGCCAACATCTGCATTACCATAGTAGAAGGGCTGGATTCCCCAATTAGTGTCTCTAGATTTTGTCTAGTATCTACGAATCTTATACAGTCTCTAATTATGTGGTCAGGACTCTCAATTTTATCTGGACAGGACTGGCAGTACGGGTTACTTGCTAGCCTAAACCGGTATAAGTATTCACGGAAGCAGCCATGCCCCGTAAGAAACTGTGTTAATTGAAATCCCAAGTCTCCAGATCCTCGGTTAATCCAAACTCTTATATTTGGAATTAACGAATGCGTCCATCTTGATTTTTGGGAATGATCCCACCTATGTTGCCATTCATTAAGGTATTTGTCTCTTATATCTAGATAAGACTCTGCCAGAGATTGCCCAGTTTCAGTCGTTCGCCGACGAGAGCGCTGTAAGAAATTGTCTCTGGCCAAGAACGCTTCAAGGTCTATTGGCATGCGTCCAGCCAATACTCCCGCAGCATCGTCCGATACTGTACGGTAAGCACGGCAGATGCGTAGGTTTGACAATCTATGTATGTGCACTTTTCATTACACGTGAATACGACTTAATGGTTGTAGCATGTGCCCACACCGGAGCAGCATAAAGCATCACCGACTTGGAGACTGATGCTAAAAGAACTCTAGCGGTGTCCTTGGGACCACCTATGTTTGGCATTAATCGAGATAATGCGTTGCAGACACGTGATGCTTTATCTCCCGATTGTTTTAGGTGAGTTTTGAAACTCAACCTACTATCTAAGGTTACACCAAGATATGTAAGTTGGGGGCTAGATTGTATATCTACTCCACCCACTTTAATTGAGAGTTGTTCAATCTTTTTCCTACTTGTGATTAATAGCACCTCAGTTTTATGTTCAGCAACTAAAATAAACTAAAATAAACTGGCGTAAAGTGAATGGTTTTATTATTTATCAATAGACAAAAATTACGCAAGCTATTCCACAAATAATGAATAGTTAAATAGAAGTTACAAAATAGAATCTACAAGAACAGAAAACTACTTCTGAAGAGAGAAGAAATAATGGTCTAAATATTCAAAGAGAAATTGTGTCCAAAAACTGGACACAGAAAGCCAATATGGAATACAAACAATTCAGAACTATTATTAATACCATATTAGAGGATCCAAAGATATATTTATTTAAATAAAAATTTGTGAAAATATCACTTAAATTCATTCTACAAGACAAACCTAACAAACGTTAAGTCCATCTTAGGACGCACAGGAAGGTATGCTGACCTACGGTCCATTATCAGTTGAAAGATAAATAAATGATAAAAATTCTAGTATAGTTAAAGCTTAGTGTGGGACAGGGATAAACCCCCCAGCAACAAAAGAGTAAAAGTGCGCAATAGTACTAACTCAAACCACCACAACAACAACAACAAGACAAGTGAAATCCTATATCTTCAACTGCTAATATTTATTTAACGAATTAAGTAGAGAATTTAATAAAGAATTTAAAAATATTAGAGATTTCATTAAAAATATTTCAAAATTAATCATTTTTACATTTTGGAGCCACTTTAACAATCGAGTGTCTCCGACCACTTTTTCGAAATTTCGTCATGAAAGAAAAAGATAAATCAAAAAGATTTCCCGAAGAGTGGTGAACCGGGACAACAACAAATTACAGCGAAATCCGGAAATAATAGATATGTTTTTATACAGTATAAAAAAATAAATGAATGCAACAATTAGATCTATGTACGTACCTGGGAAACAAAATATTTTATTCTCCAGATCGAAACAAATTTTAAGAATATTGAAGTATTTACTTGAATGTTTCAATTTAAATTTAATAGCATACTTATTGAAATTATTTAATAAACTGAAATTAATTCTTATTAAGAATGTAAAATAATAAGGGGTTCTACAAAATATTAGGCATTATTATTAAATAAATAAAAAGTCATTAAAACAAAACTTTTTTTACATAATATCCGTCATAATATAATATATCAAATATCTTGAACATGATAATAATACAATAAAATAATATAAAATACCTAAATTAAGTCGAAAAAAACATTCGTTGTTATCCCAATCCTATATTATTGTAAAGATCCGTTGTGGATCTTCGTCAATTTCAGGGGATTAACTGGGAAAACTGCCGAATTCTAAACATATTATTATAGTTAATGGTTAACTATTGGTCGAGCATAAAGTTTCTTAAAACCTACAATATTACGTAGACGTTATTAAACAAATTTATATTACATATTTAACCAAGAAAATATCTTTAACAAATGAAAAAAAAACCCTATAAATTTGATTTCAAGTGTTCAGCCCACCATTGATACGTATATATTAAGCATTCTTTTTTATTCTTTTCTTTAATATATTATATATTTACTTTGACTTCAAACAATTTTACAGCCACAACCATTTCAAATTCCTGATCGTACAGTACAAAGTCCTATTGATCATTTAGCTTTGGGCAATTATGAGCGTAAACAGTCTTTGAGTCGAGATTTCGCAAACACTGTGTATACACCAAATGAACGTGAAAGATATCGTAGTTCAGGTGATCTACGTTATGGTGAATCCGCATTTGGCTTTCCATCACTGGACCGACAACATTCGCCATTTCATGAACCATTATCTATAGAAAGAGTAAGTAATATACATTTATTTGTATACTCAACATGCGCTGAATGTGCAATATTACTTATAGTCTCAGTCGCAAATGCATTCACCATTACATGGATTTTCTACGGATCATTTACATTATGAGCCCAAGCCCGCGAGAGATCCTGAAACGGAGTTATATATACTACTAAAGGTATGTAAATAAATTAACTAGTTAAATTTTGAAAAAAATCACATTTATTAATTAACTATAATTAGTTTTTTGATGGACTAATTTTAACATTACTTATATGTATGAAAACTCAATACAGTAAATATTTATAATAGTTTTAGATTATACATATATTCATAATGTCTAATGTTGAGTCTTTTCTGAGTTAGCGCATCTGGACACTTTTACTCTTTGATAGGTGAGGGGTTTCTGCAGAGTCTCATCCATCTCACTGACTAATTTGTGTATTCCCCATAAGCATCGTGATTATTGAATGACTGATCTAAGATCTGCGTATGCTACATATATTTCATAAATTCCTGAGCTGATTCCTTGGTCTCAGAAACGACAAAAACCTTTAGCCACTATTGCAATACTGATATTTTCAAATAGTTTACTTTGTAAAAAAAAAATTTTCTTCAATCATGCACCGTTTTTCAAGAATTGCATCTTTGACGCATTTTAGCTACTACTAAAGATAGGTTTTGACAAAAACCTATGAATTTCTAAGGACATTAATCAATAAATTATTTGTTTTTGTGAAAATATGAGGTTTTTGACTATATAATTTTTTAGATATTGATGATTTTTCGCTCATAATAAGACTTTTTTTTGACACATTGCATTTCAGTAAATATTGAAAATGTGTTCCCTAACTTTAATATTTTTCCTTTCTTGCACGGAAGTAACCGCTTAGTGCTTTACAGAAGATATACAAGAAACAGCCTATATATATATATATATTTTATTTTTTTTTTTTATGTATCGCAAATTCATTATCAATATGTTTTTAACAATAATCCGTATTTGTAATTTACTAAGGAAGCTGAGATGCACAAATTCACTTCAGAGGAGTTGCACATTGCGTTAAAATATTGTGGCACAGATATACATCCAGTGCAGTGGTTACGTGAAAATTGGCTAAAACTTATTCAAACAGTCCAAAGCCTTTCTACAAAATATGGGCAAGAACGTGTAGAAAATATTATCGGTACTATTTCTCACAATGAAGCAAGGGATGCCTTACGTATGCATTCGGGAAATATTTGGCAGGCAGTCTCCGAATGTATTGAGCAACGACAAAAAAAATATCGTCAAATATCCAGTAAAGGCAATTATTCACGTGAAGATATTGTCACTGCTCTAACAGTGCATCAGGGTAACATGGACTTAGCATTAATCGAATTGAGTAAAACACAATTGAAACCTTTTTTAATGCGAATATGGGGTTCACCTGGAGGAGTTGAAAATGAAAGTGCACCAAATATGAACTCTCAATCACCTATATATGATACCAATCTTCAGACATACAATGATAAAATCAATGCTTCAGGTAAGTAATAAACCGATAAATTCACTTTGCATTACCTAACTGTGTGCGTTGATATTCACTTCTTCTCTTCACTGCAGAAATTCATGATTTACTTAATTCAGATGCCTCCGAATGCTTTCAAATACCAACTGCAACTGGTGCATTCATGAGAGATCATTTATCCCAATTGAATGATGGCTTTAGTGATAATCACCAGTTCATAACAGAAAACATAAACAGTTTCAGCACAAACAACAAAGACAGTACATATCAGTTAGAAGACACAAGCTCCAATAAAAGAGTACTTAAGGATTTGGAAATGTTAATTGAAAATATGGAGCAAAACCAAGCAAAACAGAATGAACAAGTGTTACGCTCCATTGAAGATATGTTGGGCACTTTTATAGGAAAAAAGGATAGCGATCTTGAAACTGATTTAGAAACAATGCGGATTCTAATGAAAAGCCCAATAAACACGCCCAAAAGTAAGCAAATGCAAAAAGAGGAAAAAATTAAAACTGCGAGCGATGTTAAAAGTTTTGTATGGCAGCACATACAAGAAATAGTACCAAATCTTGTCCAGCAAGTGGAAAAAGAACTAATGGAAAATGACACCATAGAAATAATGGCCACAGAAGACACCGCTGTATCAGAAAAAGAACAAAACATACCCACACCGATTGATCCTGACGAATTCTTAACAGAAGAAGTAATTAAGCCTAATATAAAAGAAGCTAATATCATTGAAGAAATGGCGCAAAGATTTGTTTATGTAAGTGAAATGATAGCTGAAAGAAATGAAACTGAGAATGCTTTCACTTCATTTCATGAGGAAGAGTTCGAAGCGGAAACATTTGCGGATGCACCTAAAAATGTCTACAAGGCATATTTTGCGAGAAAGGAGTTAGATGCTGATATTGCTGTAAGTAACAGGAATGACCAGACAACAGAAGCATTACAGGAATCTTTGGAAACAGTAGAGCAAATGGCCGAAAATAATATTCACAATGAGACACAATCACAACAAAACCTACAAGAAAAAATAAGTCAAGCGGAAGCGAGTACAGGCATGAGGAATACAACACAATCAGCAAACGAGTCATCAACATCCACGGGAAATAGTAAAGGAGCGATTAAGAAGCAAACTGTTAGTAAGAAAATAATGCATTTGCCACTAAATGTTCCAAAATATAATTCGAAAGGTAATAGAAAACGCAGAGATATGCGAACAAAGAAGTTTATTGTACTCAAAACTACAGATAATCGTGAAGAAGATGAAAACAGTACTGATGTTGGTCATAACACACAACAGGATACTGAAAATCTTAAAACAAATCATAATGATCTTGGTATCGATAATAAGATACAAGTCGGAAATGAAGTTCTTATGACTGTAGATGAAAGTGGTAATGATGCATCAGAAATAAACACAATAAGTACATCAGTACAAGTTGCTAGCATACAATCACATAAAGAAAAGACACATACTGACAATACAGAAGTCCGTAAAAGTAATGAAATAGAAGATACGAATGGAAGTTTAGTTAACTCTGTTAGTAACAGCACAGAAATGGAACACGAAACAGCGCGACCCCATATAGAAAACGCAATTGGATTGCAACAACGGAATGCACTAAATAGTACGGAGGAGCTAACAAATGATCAATCTAGTGCAACTACGGATAAACTGAATGAAAATAAAATACAGAGCAACCAAAACGACATGTTATTACAGTCAGTAGAAACATTAATAATAAAGCAAACAAAAGCAACTGAATTTCCACCTAATCAGCTATTAAATGTCGAGACAACTGTTAATGCAGAAGTTGTTCTTAATCCAACGTTTACAACTCATAATGCCGAATCCAGTGAAGAGACAAATACAACAGTTACAAAGGAAAAGCCAACTGTTGCAATAAAACGTACTCCCTCTATTAAAATATCTCGTATTCCGGTACGTAAGAACTTAAGCACTGCAAGTAATATTAGCAGCAAAGCAAACGTCACTGCCAGCAATGAATCAATTGACGAATCTACAAGTAAGCAACCAACAACTCAAGTAAATGGTGCTATGATTGCTCAAGATGTACAAACTCAGATTAACAAAACTGCCACTTCAGCTAGCGTATCGTTGAAAGGTGCTATTTCAGAAATTAATGACGACACTGATGATATATTTGAAGATGTTATGGAATTAGGTACTGACGAGGAAGCACTACAAAATGAAAACATATTTAGTAAGGAAAATGAAGATACTTCTGATACAGAACTTTATAGTATTCACAGTGAGCAATCTATGAACAATGCCACCGATACACTTAAGTCTGCAGAATCACCTACTTCGGAAAGTGAGATGTTTTTACTCTTAGCGAATGCTTCACAAACATCAATAAACTCAACAAATATTGAAACTTCCGAAAGTACTACATTACGAAATGAAACTTCCAGCAGTACATCACCAACAGATTTCATACTTTCTACTGATCCTTTGAAACAAAATCTATCAGATTTGGTCGAAAACACACAACGTCTTATAAAGCAAATGAAGGATGAAATAAATATAGAAGAATTTGAATCATCAGGCGATGAGTACACTGATGAATTTACTGACGAATATGATGACGATGAAACAGATGATATTGATGAAGAAGAAGCGGAATATGAAGAATATGTGGAAGAGGAAGAAGATGCAGAAGATTGGAACGAAGATGGTGAAACTGATGATGATGCTGATGATGATGCTGATGATGATAATGAGTTTAAAGACAACGGGGAGATACAAGAAGAGAATGTCAATGATTATACAGACAAAACGATTGCAGTTACCGATATTTTAAGCGAAAATGCTAAATCAACAATTGAAATAAACAACCAAAACAATAGTTCGGGTAACAATTTGGAGAATGTTATTGATAATAGTTTAACACCAACACAAGAACCAAACGCGCCAACAGCATATATCGAAGAAACTAATAACATTGAGATAACACAAAATCATGAGAGCGTCATAGCAGTTAGCAGTGATACATCACCAATTCAGCCAAACATTAGTAGTAGTAATCATATAATGCATATACCTGATCCATTCCTACCAGATAATAATAGTACAAATAATGAAATCAATGCTTTAATACAAAATGAAATTCCGCAAAATACGCTTGAAAATGAGACTTACATCACTGCTCATAGTTTAGATAGTGCCTTAACTTCCACAAGTTCATCAGCTGAAGTTCAAAATCCATTGCTAGATCCTAGTTCCCATAACAGCTTAAATAACGCCACAAACGGTTTAGCAAATATAGAAACAACAAATTCAAACTCTTTTGCAGTTACAACTATGGATAATACAAATTCCACTGAGCAGATTAAATCACGCGAAAATGACAACTTGAATAATGTTGAAGATACAAATGAGAGTAGTTCAATGGATAAAGCAACCGATAATACAAATATTACTGAAACTGCCAGCAGCAGTACACCAGTAGATATCGAAGTTTTAACTTCGCGCGAAGATGTCGTAAATGACGAAACAATAACAACAAAACCAGACACTATGTTCGTTACAAGCACAGAAATTCAACAACCAATAGTCTTGTTAAATGAAATGGAACTTAATTTCTTAGCTAATATTTCCACAGAAGCTACTACTACTTCAAATTCAGTGACTAGCACAATGCTACCACTAGAACCACATACAACTAATAGTGCCAACAGTAATAAATCCAGTGAGACTATTAAAACAACAAATAAACCACAAAGTCCAACCACTACCAATACAAAACAGAGCACCGCTGCATCTGCAACAAAAAACTCCACTAAAGTATCTACTATTCAGGGTAAATCAACAACAATTCCTAGTACTTCAGGCAATGCAACAAAAACTTCTACTACTGAAGCCAACATAACAAATTTAAAAAAAGTTCAAGATGTATCTAAAAGTGTACCGGTTAGCAAAATACCTAAACCAACAGAGAATATAAACACTAAAAAGGTTAATAAGAAAGTACCTCTACGCTCCAAATCTTTTTCAGGCCCACCAACACCCATTGGCATATCATCAGTGAAAAAATTACAACAGGAATTCCTAAATAAGCAAACACAACAATCGAATGCAGTGCCAGCACCAAAAAATCCCCCACTTGTCATACGTAAAAAATCCATAACAGAGGCTATAACGAAATTTACTAAGCCCACAAACAATACAAATCCAGACGGACCCAGCAGTAGTAGTAGCAGTTTACCATTATTTCGTTCGAGAACACAACCAAGAATACCAAAAAAGAAATATCATGAAACATGTTTCTCGGATGATGATTACGGCACCACATCCAATGAAGAGGAAGACATTCAAAGCCCATTAATGTTAGAGCGGAAGCAAAGTGTGCCCGTTTTTCGCACCTATCCCAATATTATCGTAAAGGAACTAGTGGTCGATCCTGAGGTAACGAAATTAAGCGCTTATAATATCTATTCATTTCAATTCAATTATTCCTTATATATTAGTAGATACTTTTTAAGTTCATTTATTATTGCCGACGTCTTCTGTTTATTGTTTACTGCTAAGAGAGACTTCTTTAGAAACATATGTGGGTAAAATATTACACTACATAAAAAGGACAATATTTAGTTTATAGAATCAGTTATTAAACTTTCATGCCCTGAGAGAAAAGTCAAACAAATATTTGAACGTCGGCAATATTGAATAAACGTCATATATTTATTCAATATATTTTGTTCACTATTCTGTTAGAATTTAAAACTATTTCTTACATATTCCAGACATTAGCAAGGAAATTTGTTTCAGATAATTTAGTCACTAGCATAGCTGAGGCGCATATTGCTGCAGCCCTAGTCAATATGAAGTTTCAGCAGGACGATTCTCTATGGGCAGCGAAGGAATGCAGTGATTTAGATCAAGCCATCGCTCTACTGCAACAGGAATGTGAACTCTGTATGGGGCAATATGCTATGAACGAAATTGTCTCCATGTTGAAATGTACACATAAGTGTTGCAAAAATTGTGCCAAAATGTATTTTACCGTACAGGTATATTGAGTGCTATATAAATATATTTAACATAACATGTGTCATTTCTACATATATATTTCTATAGATAACAGATCGCAGTATAAACGATTGTAATTGTCCATTTTGTAAACTGCCAGAATTGCATGATAAGGGCGAACACGAGGATGAGAACTTGGAATACTTTTCCAATTTGGACATTTTTTTGAAAAATATACTAGACGTCGAAGTACACGAGCTCTTCCAACGTAAGCTTAGAGACAGAACCTTATTGCAAGATCCGAATTTTAGATGGTGTATACAATGCTCATCTGGTTTCTTTGCTAGACCAAAGCAAAAACGTCTCATATGTCCGGACTGCGGATCAGTCACATGTAGTCAATGTAGAAAGCCAGTAAGTATGCGAACTAGTACCTAAGCATAATGTTTAACAGACAATAACATATCATTACATATTGAAGATAGTCATCTTAGTCTAAGGATTTTTCTTTCAAATCACACTACAAAATTAGAGTTTTTTGCGACATACAATTATTATAGAAAATTCAGTACAATTAACTATAGATACTCTAAATTTAGTAGATACAATATTTAATAGACGATAAGATATGATTACATATTGAAGATATTTCTCTTAGTCTAAATTGGGTATAAACACCCAATTCACACTACAAATTTAAAGTTTTTTAAGTAAATTAAGTTCTTTAACTCTTTTCTATCATATTTAACAAAAAAACATGGTACTGGAGATATATAATATTTTACAGCTTCACAGCTAACTAAAATAACAATAATACATATACACAATAAACAATAAGTGTACATATACACGTACTTATAAATATTAGATATAAGATATTTTTTTTTAATTATTTTAATTTTTTTTAATGTAAAAATATAAAAAATTACATTTCACTTACTTAGTGGGAGAAACAACATGAAGGTATTTCATGTGAAAAGTTCTTAGATTGGAAAAAAGACAATGATCCAGAAATACAGGCGCAAGGTGTACAAGAGCATTTGTCCAAAAATGGCATAGATTGTCCAAAATGCAAATTTAGATATTCACTTGCACGCGGCGGTTGTATGCATTTTACTTGTACCCAGTGTAAGTTCGAATTTTGCTATGGTTGCGCTAAGCCCTTCATGATGGGTGCCAAATGTAATATATCACCTTATTGTTCTAAATTGGGCTTACACGCACATCATCCACGAAATTGTCTATTTTATTTGCGAGACAAACTGCCGCTTCAACTACAATTTCTTCTAAAACAAAACAATATCGTATTTGAAGTGGATCCATTGGATAATGAGACAGACAATGGTGCGTCTAATAGTGCTACTAAGGAACCAGTACATTGTCCAGTGCAAGTACAAAAAGAGACACCACAAGGTCTCGTCGATACAGTATGCAATAGCGATGTCCCTGAAAATCACGCTGGCATGTGCCGGTAAACATATACATGATTTAATATTTATAATTAATATTTTTATTAAATAATTTTAACTAACTTGTTTGCAGAACACATTATGTAGAATACCTAACGGCAAAAGTGGCCAAAGCACGAATTGATCCATTACCCATCTTTGATTTAACCGATTGTGTACAAGAATTACGTAGACGCGGCTTAGCGTTGCCAGATCGAGGTCCTTGGGATACTGATGAAATATACAAAAATATGTGTTCTGAGGTTAGTTTGTTTGTTAAATTATTGTACATATTCGTATACCTATGCATATAATATATAAATAAAATTTATTTTCCATCTATTGTAGGTTATAAAAGCTAATATTCCATTGGAAACGGAGTAACTGTCATAAATAATTTAATATTTTTTAATCGAAATTATGTGTAATAAAAATTTAGTTTTCCACTAAAAAGTAAAATAAAATGTTTTTAAAAATCAATAAAAAAATCGTTTCAATTGTAATTAAACCTAGGCCTAGAACACGCTCATAGCCCTTTCATTAAAAAAAAAAACTTATAATAAAATAGTTACAATAATATTTTTTATAGCACATTAGGTGTATTCTTTTGACATGAAAGCTCCAATAGAACACATGTCGCTTAAAACATCAAATGCAAAGCAACAACAAAATTCGCAAAAATAAGCGCACTTTCCTAAAAGTGCTAAATGAATAAGTCTTTCACACTACAATGGTGCCAAATCCTAAAATTGATCTATTGTGAATGATTTTTGGAAGAAAACAACAATTCAAAAGTTAACTTTTCACAAGAGAAATTACCAAAATTTGTCATATGTTTTATGTGTAAAATTTAAACAAACAACAGCTAAGCTATAAACAAAGGCATCGGGGAAGTTAGTATTTAATAAAGTCTTTATTTTTATTTATTGAATATGTAATTGATATATAAAATGTATATAAATAATTTAATATATCAAATATATATTTCATTTTTTGTGATATATAATTAAATGAAATTTTTAAAAGTACTATCAGCTGCATAAATGAGCTGATTACAATGTGAACGATAACTTATTAATATAAATGAGCAAGTGCCTAAATGAGATAGTGTGAATATACTATTATATTTTATTTAGACTATAGTACTTAACTTATTTTAGGATTTATTTTGATAAATGTGTGAATTTAGTTGCACTTGCCTTACAAAATCTATACATAAATATGCACGGTATGCGCGTGCTTATTTTTTAAAGCTCATTTGCTTAAAGAACACCGCCATAAAAAATTCCAATATGGCAATTATGGGCGTAAATTTTAATTTTAAATCAAAACAAAAACGAATAGTAAAACTGTAACAATAAATAAATTTCAGTCGATTTTATTCGATAAATTCATAATTGAACTAAAGAATTTCACGAGAATTTCATACATTTTACATACATTAAAATAATTTAATCCCACATTATAAAAAATATGATAGCGAAAAAATTAAAAAAATAATAATAAATAAATAATACTAATATTGACTTTTATTTTTTTGTTTCTCTGTTCGTTAAGTTCTAAACGACTAAGTGTAAACACATAAACTGACTTAAATAAAACAAGCTAAAGTCAAGTGTAAACACACTTCTACAAAACTACTACTTATTTATTTTAGAAATATAATTGACCGATAATAGATTTTAAATAGCGACAGTACGATTTTTCATATTGGTTAAAGAAAATAACAAAGTAAACTCCTTTACCCCTACAACTAATATAAATATTCTGAGTCATGTTATGCGAGTCAAATATAATGACTTACATTATATTAACGATATATTAAGCTATTTTAATAAGTTTTGGTTGTTCCTAAATTTAGAATGTAATATTATTGATAGATATAATATTGTGGTTCCTAAAGGAAGCAATTTTGATAAGAGTTTTGATGAGATACAAAAAGTTCGTCACCTTGACCAAAATCTAATCTAATTTTACACTATGGTATAACGTTTACTACCGATAATATTTATCAATATCACAAAAAGCTAGAGATCGGTAACATATGATTACAGTAGAACTGTAAAGGAAGACACTATTAAAAGAATTAAACTTGGCAAAGAATTAAACTTGGAGTAGGAATTCTAGTTCAATTTCATTGAATTGAAATTATTTGCGAAATCTGACAGACTTACTAACACCGTGTTATCAAATCTCAGAATGGTTACAGGCTCCTCGTGGACATATGCAGATCTGAGGTCAATTATTGCTTAGTCTAATGAAGTGATAAACAATAATCCAGTCAAGGCGCAAAGAGGGGTTTTGTAGAAACCTACCAGTTAAAAGAGAGTAAAAGTGCTCAGGTGCACTGACTCAACTCAACTAGCCTCAACATATATAGAAGTCCACACAAAAACTTAAAGAGATTGATTAAGAAATTCTAACTTTTGCGCCTACTAAATTGTCTGGAATCGTATTTTTGATTTTTTAAAGCTTTAGAACTTTTTTCTCTCAATCACTGTTTACTAACTTTTACTGGAATGTGTCTCACCCACGAATCTGTTGCAACTTATACTAGTAATTATGACTTTGTATGTAAGCACATTATTGACTCGTTAGATTAAGTGTGAAAGTATTGACATAACTACTAACTGTGATAACTACCAGACGAGACTGAAAAAGCGACTCTATGGGCTATGTTATAAAATTGAATTTTTCAATGTAAATAATAAAATTGATAGTGAGATCAAAAAACTAAGAGAGTTTCCAATAAAACTCTGTATTACCAGTTTAGTAGAAAAAGCTACACAAAACAGATGTCTTTACTAAAATCCGTTATCAAATGGTTATACCTCAAAACCGTGATATATTTTCTACTTTAATCTCTTGGTAGGACCATAAATCGCAGTTGAAAATCTTTTAATATAGTAACTAATTCTAATCTAAGTAATTTTCCTTATAATATGAAACTTTGAGATGTATCAAAACTTGATTTTAAATCTACATCCAGACTCAAAGAGCTTTCAATATTTAGGACTGGTATTTGTCGAATCTTCAAAACCCAAGTTTTCGACAGTTCTAAAGAAGATATTATTACAACTTAGTTGTATTGTTTGAAAGGCAATATTGCTAACGATTTTTACAAATGGAAAAAAAATATCTTAACGCAAGAACTAGTCAACTAAATAAGACTATAATTTTGTCTTCATATGGTTTCAATTTTTAAATAATTAAATATATTACAATATTTAATAAAAACAAATTAAACTGAAGCTCAGATAAGTTAAATTGATTTCATCAACTAGATATACTCTATTATAGAACTATATGACGAAATTTGTCAATGTGAATTTTCTATTTTGTTTCAAAACATATATATTGTTGAATACGGTTCAGATTTTAAATAAAATATGTATTATAAATAATTTATTATACTTGTTTTTTTAAATAAGACACAAAATTTTTACTTGTATTAAAATATTTATGTAAATATATTTTGCACATTAATTTACTTATATTAGTAAGGCTTATAAAACTTTATAAATTAGTAAACATAAAACAAATTGATACATTTAATAAAAAATTATATATATAACTTTCAAAATTCATTATAATTATTATACATAATATATATATATTAACATAGAGATATGCTTGCATTTTTAATATTGTGTTCAACATTACATTACAGATTTAACTAATCATATCGATACCTTGAACTACAAAATCGGTTCGAAGACTTAGAATTATAAATATATAATATATATATATATATATATATATATATATATATATATATATATATAGTTTAGTTAGCATGGCCACATGACAACTGGTCAACAGCAATGAGAGTAGTAGAAGCAGAAGGGTCGTCTTCGAATGTGAAGAAGTGTGCGGTTGAACGGTTGCTATGTGTAAACTTCCACCGATATATGTTCTTTATTTTATAATATAATATGTATATATTTATAATATAATATATTTACATTTATAATATAATATTTATATATTTATAATATAATATATATATATTTAAAATATAATATAATATTATATATATATATATATGTATATAATATTATTATATATGATAAAACGACAGTTAGTGTCTAAAACATTTTTACTCATTTTTACCAAGTTTGTGATCACTTGGATAATCCAGTGTAGTATAAGAGCTCTTTTGAATTCGATAATAAATTATTCAGATGATTTCATTGAAGTATACTTTGAAGCCCAGCATATCTTTCAGACGGAATATATATTGCATTAAATTTGAGGGAGTGCAATTCTTTCTTATTTATACATATATATAGATATACATATATATATTTAAATAATTCTCATTTAAATAAAAAAAAAAATTTCATTTTGGAAAGAAGGCTTATTTTTACTTTAGCTCACAATATTACTTTTAAACTTAAGGTATCGATATAAAATCGTAAGTAGCATAATCCTATTATCAAAATACGGTAACTGAATTATTATAATAGGACTATTATAATTAAGTAAGTTAAATTTAATGAAGTTTTAATAATTCATATACTACTCGTAAGTTAACAATTCTACAGTAACAAAGAAACCAAAAACGAATGTATCAAGCTAATAATCAGCCCATAATAGGAACCTCATATAATCAATATGAACACAAAATTGATTTGCAAGTGTTTGTAAAACTTGCTTGATTATATGTACACAATTAATCATGGAACTGTTAGATAATTGGTTGAAATTAGAGACGGCAGAACTTCCTCTTCCGTTCTCTTCCATATATCCTAATATAAAGCTCTGATGGCTAGAAAATGAAATCATCAATCAACTACATATCTTTGTGGGCATATTTTACACAAATTGTGAATTGGGAACAGAGATTTAAACCGGAATTAAACCGTTTATGTGCTTTTCTTTTTGTTATTGTTGCAACCCACTGGAACCTGTAAGCAGATAACATGAAAGGATATACAAGACAATTACATGGGTGGGGAAGTGGATGGGTAGTGGTTGGACATTGTAGAGGTTCCAAGAACGTTCGAGTGTACGTCCCGGAGCCCCTCATCGCCAGCGAAAACACAACAACAACCAAGTGCCGTTCGACACCTTCCAAAGGGACTTGACAAGCACATGTACTTCTTTTCGTTTGCGACAGTAGAAGTTTATTTTTTTTATTGAATTAATTCGTTAACTATACTTTTTTAAAAGAATGTATAAAATGATTTTAATCGTTAAAAAAAATTTATAAATTGTAACAAAGAGTTAATAAAAAATATTAACTTTGAACTGAACTGAACTGAACTGGGAACTGAAAAATCGAAAAAAGCCGATATCTTTTTCAGTTTTGCGTTCACTTCTGGTTCGAAATTCTGCATACAAAAACGTTTGCTTCACATGCTTATACTACTCAAGTTAAAACGAAACTATACATTCTTAAAAGGTTCTGATACATGACAATAAATACAATTCTCTATAACATAACATATAATATGATAGTATAAATAAAGTTGCAGCATTAAAAAAACACACATGTTACTAAATAGAAAATTCTTGCACTATATTTTATCTACTGCAAAACACTTAATTATAAAAGATGCAAGCATACCTCCATAATATTCTGTTATTCGTTAATTTTAGTTTTAACAATTAATAAAACATATGTAAATACGTTTAAACCACAGTTCGTAGTAAGGCAGTTAATTGTGTCATATACAAATTCTTTCATTTCCATTAGACAAGGCACATTAGTTACTTAAGATAATTAGATATTCTGCAAGCAGTTAAGCACGCATTCTGGATGCTTTCTTGCTTTTGTCGGCTTTAGGTGGTGGTGGTACACTACGTCCAGCTTGTATGTGACGGCTATAAATTCTGCAAAAAAAAATATTTTTAAATTAATTTTTAATAAAAATACCTCAAAGACACTAAACTCTTACATTTTATATGTTTCCGTTTTAATATATTCAATCACATGACTTATGCCCAATAGATACTGTTCAGCAATTGGCGTAACCCAAGGATTTTCTTCCATCTTCATCACCGATTTACTTCCAAGTAAATCTAAATGTCCTACTTCAGGTGGTAAAACTTGCAAACGATTATTTTGTATGTGCAATTCACGTAAACGTGTCAATTCACCAACTTCACGTGGCAGTTCTAGCAAATCATTGTCACGTAAACCCAGAATCTGCAAATTTTTTAAATTTCCTAGACCGTTTGGTATATATTCGAAATCGTTGTCACCCAAGTATAGTGCTCGTAATGACTCCATCATGAAAAAGTTGCCAGGGAGCACTTTTTCAGTCAAATTATTATATGATAAATCTAATACTTCAAGCATTGGAAATGCTCCAAACCCACGTGGCAAGCTATCCAGTCGATTTATAGACACGTTCAAAATGCGCAACTTTGGCATTGATGATAATGATACAGGCAACTCATGCAATTGATTATTAGATAAGTTCAAAATCTCCAGATTCAATAAATTTGCTATTCCAGGATTGATCATACTGATTTTATTGTGGCTTAACGTAAGTCGCGTTATATTCGACATGTTAACTGCAAATAAATATATTTAATTAAAAAATTAATTAAAAATGAAATGCTTTAGTAATAAAACAAATATTTATGAATGGCAAAGAAGTTTAGAGTGATCAGTGTTCATAGGCAAATTTTATAAAATAAAGTCCTTAAAATGATTTATAATCGACCAAACCTTGAATATAAAAGAGGAGAGTAACCACCTATCTCCTACTATTACTCCTATGTCTATTTTTATTGTTTTTATATAGAATATGGTTAATTGTTTAGCACTACACAATTACTGAATTTGTATAAGTATAAGTATAAGTATAAGTATAAGTATAAGTATAAGTATAAGTATAAGTATAAGTATAAGTATAAGTATAAGTATAAGTATAAGTATAAGTATAAGAATAAGTATAAGTATAAGTATAAGTATAAGTATAAGTATAAGTATAAGTATAAGTATAAGTATAAGTATAAGTATAAGTATAAGTATAAGTATAAGTTATAAGTATAAGTATAAATATAAGTATAAGTATAAGTATAAGTATAAGTATAAGTATAAGTATAAGTATAAGTATAAGTATAAGTATAAGTATAAGTATAAGTATAAGTACATAACCAAATAATTCATCCGTCACTTCTATATGGTTGTGTACCGTTTAGCAAAGCTTCAAACACTACTATTCACCAGTTAGAAATTGCACTGAGAAGACTTTTTAAAGTTCCTTGGTACATTAGGACGAATGACATCCTCAGGGACCTAAAGATTGATCCCATCAAAAAATACATAAAGGATAGACCCCTGAAATTATTTGCGAAATCTGACAGACTTACTCACACCGCGTTATCAAATCTCAGAATGGTTACAGGCTCCTCGGGGAGATATGCAGATCTGAGGTCAATTATTGCTTAGTCTGAGTGATAAACAATAATCCAGTTAAGGCGCAAAGAGGGGTTTTGAAAAAACCTCGCAGTTAAAAGAGAGTAAAAGTGCTCAGGTGCACTGATTCAACTAGCCGCAACATAATATAAGTAGTCCCCTTACATGGTTTCTCAATCAGTTGTGATAATACTCCACCCTGAGAAAGAAGTCAAATAATCATCAAGATGTTGGCATATTGGGGTTTCAAGCAATATGAAACATATCAATTATTGATATTCATGGAAAATTACCAATTGAAATACTTTAAATTTCATATGTGAACAATGTAATATATTTAAAAAACTTTTTTCTATAAAAAATGCTTGTATAATATTAGTTTTGTATTTATAGTAAAAGAATCAGGAAAACTAATATATCTCTATAATTTACTTAGGGCTTGTTAATGCACTCATTCAAAATAAATTGGAAAGACTAACAAGGACTAACAATTTATTTGTGAAAAAATTAGTAAACAATTTTAATAAGTGTTCTTAAGTAGACACACTAAACTTGTTTAAAAATCAGTTGCTATGTTCACAAATTGTTTGTACATACATGAGAAGTTCTTATTAAGAACAACAAATTTTGAAAATATTTATGAAAAATTTGTCACTTAACAACAACAAATTACATAGCAAAAAATACATGAAACCGGTTTTACAAACTATTTTATGTTTGCGTCACTACCCTTGTTTTTAAGAATTCACTATACACTGATTACTAAACAAAAATAGAATCTATTTTTTCAAATGCAACTCTGTGTATGGAACTCGTTTAGCAAACTAAATCCTTTAAGCCTGATTAGGTCTCTCCAAAGCACTGCCCAAGGGACACATATGACCCGCGGAAAATAAATATGCTTGATATATTTTGGTAAAATTACATTACTTTATTGGGATACCATATCCCAAAAAAATTCAAACCATTAAATTAATAAAACTAAATTTAACATTATCACCGTACCTCCAAATAAAAAAAAAACCATGGACGTATGCACTTGTTTCTGCGGCTCTCCAATCTGCACAGTAACTTGAATAGATCCGCGAACGTATCTAGTCTCGCCAGCCTTGATATGAACAATGCTACACATATGCCAAGCTACCAAGTCGCACTGTGTATATTCGATCTGCAGACATGTATGTGGTAAAACTATACCTTGTTTTAAAGTCTATTGCAAAGCTCATACTTGGTCTGTATACTTGTTGTGCATACATGTAGCATTGTCCATATCATGCTCTACATACATTACACTAAAATGCAATCCAAAAGTAATTTCATTCGTTAAACTACATTAAAAACATTTGAAAGAAAGATATCAGTTTCTACAGTTTTTCATTATGAAAATAAACCAAAATATATCAATACACAATTTAATCATCAATGAAAACAGTTTTGACTATACCATATATAATAAATCTTGATTTTCGTTTTCGAAGAAATAAAGCAATAATGTGAACTAAACCATTTGTAGCTACCGGGAGTTTGTTATCATTCCATGACGAAATGCGTGCAAAGATAAAATAAACAAAAATGTTAGAAGAATATTTATATATTTTTAAACTTTAAAAACTATTCAAATCATTTTCCATAGTATTTTGTTTAAGTATTTTTAAATATTAAAATAAGAACTAAATTAAAAAAACACAATATGCCGTCACCACTCAAACAGTCGTTCAATTTTGAGAAAATAAGACAGTTCAATTGCAAATAAGACAGTGAATGTAAACTCTACCACTTAGAATTACTGTGGATTTGTTACCATTGTACTCAAACGAGTGTGAGAAGGAAAATAAATTTGAGAGAATAATAAAATAAACAAAAACATATTGAAAAAATTAATCTTATTTTTATGAAATAATAAATTATATAAATATTGATATTTTAGAAAAATATATTTTTGCATTATTATTCTCGCTTTATGGCATAGATTTTTACAACAAATAAGAAGAATGAATTAAACCAAAACAAAATGAAAATTTGCTGATCATTTACACATATTCTTCTTCTGCGTTTTTCCATATATTTTTTCTTGCTTTACATTAAATTTGATTATTATTTAAATATAAAATTAAATAAAAATAAAAGTTATATCATTCATTTTATCCAAGTTTTTGCTATAAAAACAAACTTCCTACAGAAAAAAATATACAAAAAAAAAAATATATACACGCAATAGAAAAACATAAGCACACAAATGATCTCATACTTTATCGCCTGCTGTGCGTTTTTAATTATAGATATTTTTAGTAATTTTTTTTTTTTTTTATTTAATGAAATACTTTAATAATAACTTTTAATGTTAATGTGGTTTTGCTTGAATTAATGCTTTTGTTTTTAAACACTATTAGTTAAGTATATTGGCATGTGTTGTTATTTGTGTAGCATTTTTTTATCACTTAAATATTTAATATTATTTTCATTTGTTGCACTTACACAAACCGGGTAACTCCTCAAAGGAGTTAATCCCCTTGTCCACCAAATCAAGTTCACGATTTTGGGTTTCGCGTGCCTCATCCAGTACTTTTTTTGCCTTTGACATTTTGGCGTTGACTGGCAAACATTGACTCATTTTTGTTTCTCTATTTTGTTGTGCTCTATTTTATTTAAAAAAAATTCCACAAATTTTGAGTGAATCTTCACACTTCCCTATTATTGCCACCAGAGGGAAAAGTCTATTTTGTTATAGTTGTTGTTGCTGCTGCTGCTGCTGCTATTCTCTTGTTATCTATAGTATGAGTCAAAAATATTTTCTTCTTATCAATTTGCTCAAATTAAGTATTTTAGTGTTGCCATCATTCAATTTTATAATAAATTTTATAAAGTAATATAAATATATTATTCATTTTAATATATATTATAAATATATTATTCATATAAATATGTAACATAAATATATTATTTATATAAATATATATTATAAATATATTATTTATATTAATATATAAAGTATATATATAAGCCATGTGCGAGTTTGAGTAAATGGAAAATGGTAAATTATTTCGGTATGGTAGTGAATGTTGGTATTTACCACAATTTCCAGTAGAGTAAATTAGATAAAAATTAAGTAAATTAGGTGTTACGATTGTGAAAATTTATTAAGATCTTTAATAAATAAATAAATTTGAAAACTTTTAATCAAAAATAATAAATAAGTATTACAATTAACATTATTAACAGAATTACACATAAACAAATAAATATTTACATAAGAGCCGTGCAAAAAATCCCTGTCATATTTTAATTTAATTTACCTCAATTATACCTCAATTTACTTTATATCAATTATATATTACCTCAATAAAATATTTATATAAATATATAATATAAATATATTGTTTATAATATAAACATATATATATATAATATAAATATATATTTTTATATTAATTTATTAATATAATATAATTATTATAAATTTAATTTTTAAGTTTCAATTTTAATTTTAAGCTATGATTTCTTATATGCCGCAATATGACAAAGGATTTTTGTTAAAATAACCATAATGAGCAACTTCTTTCACTATACTATATATGGCAATAGAGTTTTGTTCTCGAGATAATGGGATTGTAAGTTAGATTATTATATATCAATATACAAAAAACAAATAAACGTGTCATGTGTTGTTGTAAGTTGTTCTTAATTATGGTTTGTGTAATGTTTATATGTTTAATCACATACTGGCATTCAACGTTTGTGAAACAATTTAAAAAGTTTACCACTTTAAAACTCTATAACTATAATTATATAATTATATAGCATAATTGAAAAAGTTGTTTAAAATTACGAGCATCGTAAAATTCAGTCTCCCTTTGCAATTTTCTAAGCTCTATAAATTTTTATAAAAAAATATAAAAGTTTGATTAGCTTTCATGTTGTTTATTATTATACTCATATATAATATATATAATTTTAAAAATTGTTTAGTTGAATTTCAATTAACCGATTTAAAACAAACTGAATTTTTATTTTTAAATAGGCTTTTGCTAAGCTAAGGTCTGATGATAAATATTAAAAATAACATATGAATAATTCAAAAACACAATGTTTTTGCAGTTAGAATTTAAACAGAGACTGCCAGAAGTCCACAATATAAGTATTCAACATAGAATTAAGAATAATCATAATTTTTTAGTAATATAATATAACATAATATAATATAGTATAATATACATCCAAAATAAAACCACATGACGACATTTATTTACTACCGCAATAAGCAAAACATTTTTTCTGACATTTGGTGTTTGATTTCATTTAGCCTAATTGCGTTATTACTTATTTTTAATTAACAAATATATTCAAAATAAAAAAAAATATACACAAATTAAAATTTGATTGCTAAAATAATTAAAATTAAAAATATAATTTAAAGTTGCCAGTTCCCCATTTTTTTAAATCAAAATCGTGACTTCACATTGCTTAAAAGGTCTCACTTATGGCGTTTTTAATTGGTAACTCAGATTAATAATTAATAAATTAATTAATTTATCTATAACACTCCAGATATTTTGTCAAAGTATATAAAAAAAAAACACAAAAGTTGTTAGCGATGAGAATAAAGCTTATCACAATATATAATATATATTATATTATCATGTTAATATATATATTATCACAATATATATTATATACATAAATTATATTATATATATATAATGTATTACTATCTTAATGTGTATTAAAGTTTACATATACAGGTGTATTTACTATAAACAATATTATTTTTTATTTATATAAAACTGTATGATGGCAACTCTGTCGTTTATTCTTTACAAGTAGTAAATAAAAATTCATTTGAGTGTTTATCATACACAAATTTTTGTTTTTGCTTTGTTTTTGTCTTCACACATGTTTAGAAACGCGATGCCACCCGGTTAATGTGGGGTTCAATGTTTCTGCATATGTTTTTAAAAAAAATTATTTAACATATAAAATATTAATATTTATATAGACCACTTTAATTCTTTTATATAAAATCTTTGAATTTTTTACAAATTGAATTTATCATAAAATTTTTTCTTTTACTTAAATAAAAATATATAAAGCAAATATATGACACACACACATTGGGCGAAATTTGCTGTTGTTATTTATTAAGAAGTAAATTTTTAATGTTAAATTTAATATAATGCAAATATTATTATTAAAATTAATAATATTTTTTTTATATGTTATATCTTCGGGAACTGACACTGACAATAACATTTAGGAAAAAACTTTACTTTCAATAAATAAAAAAAAAATAATTATTTGAATCTGTCACAAATTGCTTTTCTGCACTTGTATTTAAAATTATATGCAAATCAGGTCAAATCACATTTCAAAGCTTTTTTTCTATTTTCGAAATTGTGTATCATGTTCCCATTCGGTGCGGTTAAGACGATGCACCGAACTGGGTGACATCATTTCCGATTGAAACTAGAACAATACCAAGGTATTTTCTCGTTACGTGTATTGAATTGTTTTATATATTCAACTAAACTAAAAACAAATGTTATTACAAGACTTATTAAAAAAAACCGTTTAGCTAAGACGAAGGAAACAAAGCACTTGAGAGTTACATATTTACATATTCACAGCGGACATACACTGCAATCGAAATTGTCGCGATTATATTCTCCAGGGACAGACGACACGGAATGCATTCAATCAAGGATTATTTTATCATATAATAAATATTGTTAACAAATTTTTATTTAAACAAAAATATGCGCGTATAATACATATATATATGCATTTACATATGTATTCGTACGTATTTATATTACAAAATTCTTCTTGTAAAATATGTCCACACACGTCAAATTGTCTTAAAACACTATATTTTGTGTTGATAATATATTTTGCTTAATCGAACAAATCAAATCTTACAAAAATAGCAAGAAGAATGCGTCATGAATCTTTTAAATGCCCATGAATAAATTACAACAAAAACATGTGTATATATGTATATATATATATAAACTGCTTTGTTGTCGTGTTAAGTTTCCAATGTTGTTTTGCAATCTATGTTTATTTGATATAAAAATAATACAAAAATAAAAGAAATGTATGTGCTTAAAACTTGTTCGACTGCATTTCATTTTATGTTATTTAATTTTTGTTGTATAAAATCAACATGTTGAAAGGTTCTGGAATATGTAAAAACATTTTTAAAGTGCTTGTAATTGTATGCTAACACACAGTTGTAATTACCAACAATAACATAGACATAAACAATTCTATGTTTTTGTTTACTACAAACAATACAGGCAATGAGTTTATTAAATTTACATTTTTAAAGTCAACACTGAAATAATAACATTTTAATAGTCAGTGGAAGGATTGTGATTACCAAACTGTATACTTTCTACAGTTATAAATGTATTGATGGATTGATGAGTATTTATTTATTTGTGAGTTAAGATTAAAATTATTTAATTATTTATTTGTGAGTTAAGATTAAAATTATTTAATTATTTATTAATTATTGATTGTTTAATATACAAAACTATTTTCTTTATAACAACAATTTTTAATATATTTTCAAATAAATTTGTTTCGTCACAAAATATTAATTCGCAAGTAGAGATGTGAATAATTAAAAAAACTTTTTTAAAGTCACTACACAAAGTCACTTCACATTTTATTGATCACTGCATGTTGTCAATGTTAAATTCAAATGAATATTGCAGTGAAACTAAAAATGTATCAATGTAATAAGCAGAGACAAGAACACTTAATTCGAAAAGGTTGGGTTCAATGCTATATGGTGACACAAGCGAAAATGAAAACTGTACTAAGAGTAAATCGCGATATATGGCAAGATAGCTAGGTTTTTTAGATATCGGGCTTTAATGTTGGAGATATATACACGGAAACCATCAATAACAGCAAATAGACGAGGCAGATGATCAGTTGTTATTTTCTACTGTAGTGTTCTCTTCCTAGCGTTAATGTTTAATAGACTATTTCTTAGTCTTACTTTTAGAGATGCTTACTTGATTTATATAGTGATAAGTAAAGATGGTGCGTGTTTTTATTGTATTTATTAGATTGTCAGATTTCAAAGTCCAGCGTATGTACCACTGGCGAGAAAAGAATTGGAAATTTTAAAGACGTTTAACTCTACATTCTGGTAAGTATTCACAGTATCTAAGGGCTTGAGGGCTGTAATATATTTTTTTGTGTTTTAAAAGCATAATCCGATTATATGTATACACCAGAGGCGAGGCGTCGAATGGTTCAGAGTGTTCACTGAACACCTTAACAAAGCTTCCTTTTTAGATCTTTTTTTTTTGATTAGGTAAATAATCGCGCTATTTTGCTACTTAACATTTTTTATAATAGCTTTTCCAAACAGATTAACATAAACACAAAACGTACAATACAAACAAAATCACACATACATATGTTAGTTACACCCAACATTACTTATAATTAATAAAAGAGAAAATACGTTCCTTTTAAAATATACTAAGGTTCAAAATTAAAACTGCACCGCGTTGCTTACAAAGCATGCAAATGAAATAACATTCACATTGGGACTATGTTCAATATTGAACACACAACACAAAACATACAAACAAATATAAAAATAAAAGAGAAAACAAGCCCCGCAAAATATGTACGTAAAATAAGCATAACTCTTGAATTAATGCGTGCAAGCGGTTCAATAAAAAAGGTGAACCTCCAATGTTATGCAAAGTAAATACAAAAGAGAAAAAAATGACTGAGCGAAAATCGCTTTACATTTGACTAAAGGTTCAGTCGACTAAATTGAACCCCAAGTTCATACAAAGCGTGCAAATACAATCAAAGTCATGGTTGCCGTTTTATATGGGCAAATGGTTCAATAAAAAAACTGAACCACGCATAGTAAATACAATGTAAAAGAGTAAATGAATGCATGAGAGTTTCTTACTCTTATGCAGAGGTTGGAAATAAACCAAAAACAAAGTCATTATTGCAATTTTATACTAGCAAATGGTAAAAGTAAAGAAAAAAATTAAAGAAATTTGAAGTGAAAAATAATATTTAGAAATGGATAAATATGTGATTAAAGATTTGATTCAAATATCTTTTTTTAAACAATCTTCTAAAAAAAAGGTTTTAATTTATAAAATGAATAGACCAACTCCAGATATGAAGAATTTGGTACCTGTTGTAAAATGTCGATATCTGTGGTAAGTCGCCGTTTTCCTACAGCTACTTACCATAAAAACCAGTGGATCACAGGCTGCGAACATTTAAATAAATTGTTTTGTTGGTCTTGTTGGTCTATTTGCTTGTGGAAAGGATAAAACTTAGAAGTAGGGGGAAAACGTTATAGTTAATTCTGTTTTAATCAGATTGTGAACACCTTGCCGAAAAGCTGACGCTTCGCTACTGGTATACACATTAGGATTTATGCATAAGGGTTTGAAGGCCTTATAGTCCCAAATTTTCATTTATAAAAATTTTTTGATTCTTGATCTTAAACCTCGTTATCTTGAGAAGTAAGCTTTGTCAATATGTGACGTAGTGGAAAAAGTATACTAATAATGATAATGTATCCTTCGAGGACTTCAATAGAACGTGACAATTTGAGTTTATAATGCACTTAGGTATGACATCGCACTGTCATGACTACTTTAAAACGTGTCTAGTGCAATTATCACTAAAATATTAATCAACTCTCGCAGATCATGATTGTTAAGCAAGATATTTTCCTAAAATGTTTGGTGAAAAATTAAATCTAAAATATGTGCTAGATATATTTGTTTCTATAACTTATCATTATCATAATTGTAGATAATTAAAATTTGTATGATATTGGCGTGAACAGTGGCGTGATGTGATATATTTTGAAAAAATTAATGAATTTGGATTATAATATCTTGATGATCAGAAACCGATTGTTTCTAATCATATAGAGAAATTAATTATTGCCTATTATTTTTAAAAATGTTTATAAATGAATGTTAATATGAAAATAAAATAAGACAGATAAGATTAAGTTTTTCTTTATGTTTTTTTTTTTCATTCATTTAAAACACACCTTTCACTATAATTAAAAATTTGATTTTTATATCAAAATCGTCAGATTGTCTGTATAAGCTAATCACAAAAAATAATTTGATATAAACAAATATATTTTTCAATGAATTTTTACGTCATAATTAATTTGGACAAATAAATTATAATTTAACATTGAATCTATAAACAAAAAAAAATAGGCTTACCTAATATAGACACCCGTCACTTCTGTGTGGGGTCAAAGTAAAAAGCTATTTTCATATTCTCTACTAGAGCTATCTACTAAGACTTTCGACAAGAATTAATCACTGTTTTATACCTAAATAATTGGATACGGAATACAAACGTCTCAGCTGTCTTAAGAGATATCTTAGAGATCATTTCATGAGGTCATACCTTAAAATTTTCAATTTCAATTATAAGCTACTTTATAAGCTTATAGATACTATCACTATCAATACTATCACTATCATTATTATGAGGTAACAGAGAAAATTGTCACTACATCATAACGTGATATAAAGTAAGAGAGTCAAAATGGTTTTATTCAATAAGAGAAGTTAAAGCGTGCCTTCCTTATGAGAAGGATCGATTAATTATAAGACTATTAGTTCTATTAAGCCGAAATCAAGCTTACTTTCATGTTAAGTTTCACTGATTCTTTATATATCTCGCGCAAATTATCAATACCCACCCTTTGCTATTGTCTCCATTCAATTATCATTAATCACATTGAGAACATTACATTATTATCCAGAACTAAAGTTAACTTTAAAAATACTTTTAACGACTATATATAGAATGTTTGTTTTAGAGTCAGAAAATTAGAGCAAATGAGTCACATTCTTTTCATTCGATATATAATTTCATATTTTCTATACCAAATAATATCTTACAGTTCAACATTAAAAAAAAAGGTTTAAAACTATATCCTACAGCTGCAACTTTCCACAACCTTTTTAAATTTTTTAGGACTATAAATTCAAATGAGCGCACCCGATATTTTCTTCATAGCTTGGAATAAGTGTTTACTAATCTGAATAGATTAAATTAGATATAAACAGAATACCCTAACGGAGCGGAGCATCGCAATCATAGTAGATCCTTTGTGCTGCTACCGATCCTAACCGAACAAACAACATTCCGTCTTTCGAAAGAAAGTTAAAATGTCAGCCGTTGCAGACCTCTTAGTGTCTGAAGATAAATGAAATTCTCCTGTCTCACATCAAGTCTGTACAGTCACAATAAATTTGACTGGAAGTCTCGTCTGGTTTTAAGTAGAATCGAGAAGCTATCTTTCTGGATAGACCCTTTTGTTGAGATGATAATGCAGTCCGTGATTAAATATCCCACCAGCAACCTCAATTCTGTTCTGATGAGGCAGGATACCTTAGTGTAATTGTAGAGACAAATTAGCTCTTTAGCCTGACGATTTCCTAGAATGTCGCGCCAATAGTGACTTCTTTCGGCTGAAAACCATTTTTCAATCAGAAATTTAATTGTAGAACAACTTAATTCATAATATGGCTCCGGTTTACAGGACTGAATGGCAGATCCTGTCCTCACAAGACTCATTATCATTAACTCCTGTGTTACCAGGATTCCAGCAAAGCATCACTTTGTTTTTGCTTATCAGCTACTCTAGTGTGTCATAGCAATCTAACAGAAGCTTTGAAGAAAATTTCCAGTACGATAATGCTTTGATTGCTGCTTGATTCGAATAGAACTATAACTATAATTATTTATATAAAAAATTCTCAGTCCACGATAAATCAAACGACCTAACAGACCATTTACATTAATATTCTTGAAGACAGTAAAGC